TACTCGGCAAGTATGGCACAGGAGTGCAAACTTTGTATGCAAAGATAGCGCCGCCTAGCGGCGCTATATACACAGGCCCCTGGTCACGTGCTCTCCACGTGTGAGAACATCAGACCTAATTCGTAATAACGAATTAATAATCCGTAATAACGAATTAATAATCCGTAATAACGAATTAAATAATCCGTAATAACGAATTAATAATCCGTAATAACGAATTAGTAATCCGTAATAACGAATTAATAATCCGTAATAACGAATTAAATAATCCATTATAACGAATTAATAATCCGTAATAACGAATTAGTAATCCGTAATAACGAATTAATAATCCGTAATAACGAATTAATAATCCGTAATAACGAATTAATAATCCGTAATAACGAATTAAATAATCCGTTATAACGAATTAATAATCCGTAATAACGAATTACATAATCTGTAACATATATACTTGCAGTGGCGCTAATGGGCTTTCGTAGTAAACTGACCTGACATGAATAATGCACGCAAGTACAGTCACTGATTGCTATACATGCACCAGACGGTGAAGGTCAACACACGAGGCGCACAGCCGCTCTATCTTTTCTGCAGATGTTGATTGAGTTCACTGGCAAGCAATGGAATGTAATTTGTTCATCCAAGGACGAGCTAGACTTGAAACAAGTCGCTCACTAGCCGGGTTTTGATCGCCCGTCGCGCACCGCTCCGGTGTGGCGTGAATTATATAATGTAGCAACCTCGTCCCCTGTGCTCATATAAAGAAAGTGCACTTTTTAATAAAATTAACCAAAAAGGGATGTCAAATATTTTCATCCATTTAAGAGAAGGAAGTTGCACAAAATATGTTCCCAAGTAGCTAGAAGACATATGTCATGAGCCCTTTAGACTACATGACTCAGAGTCAGATGCTGTACATGGAAACATTAGCAATAGCATTACTCATCAAGGAAGGAATGAATCATTACCAGTTAGCATACAATACGAATACAGTCAAGGGCGGATCCAGAACACAATTTTGGGGGGCCCCAAAAAAATTTGGTCCCCAAAAAGAGTGTCCAAAAAAATTATGACGTGAGGTTCAGGGCCCGCTTTAAGGGCCTCGAAAAATGTTTGGATTCTAGATGCTCTGTGGTGCGATCTGAGGTAATTTCTGACCACTTTAATGTTTTGTGGGGGGGGGGGGGGGATTTGAGGAAAAGATGGTGGTTTACTCATTGCCTGCCTTTATTGCGAAGTCATCTAAAAAAAAATATTGATTCGGTGTTTTTTTGGGGGGGGGGCAGGCCCCCTCCCCCCCCCCCGATCCGACCTTGAATACAGTGCGAGTCAAAGACAAAACCGAGGGCGTCAATCGCTTATGAAAGTGCGTTTGTTTTATGGTGTACTCGAGGACACACACGTGCAACATCATCGGTGAATCGAGGATCTAGGACAGGAGCAAAATTGAGGACGACCTCGATTAGAAAACGTTTACAAAACCCAGACAGCATGTCCCCCGTCCCTAACCGAATGACGCCCATGTACCTACCCGAATTTAAGTTGCACAATAATAATTCAGAGGCGAATCAAAGAGGTGAAGTGACGAGTCTACACGCGTTGTAAACTACTTGAAAGTAAAACTGACAAGAAAGCAAATTTCTACTCGAGGCGCGTGAGGACGCTCTTTAGGTTTAAACAAGGACACACTTATTTCGCTTGCTTTACTTTTTTATGATTTAGGACATTGAAAGTAAGACTGCATTTGAATCCGCTGTGTATAGCTGCATGTAGGTCTAGGTCTGCGCCCATTGAAAATACGCGGGCCAATAGACGTAGCCGTCCGAGGGGGGCCTGTAGGGCCGGGCCCCCATGGCGAGCAATTGCCCCCCCCCCCCCCCCTCTCCATCGGTAAAAGCCACACATATGTATATTGGTCTTTTTATGGTAGTGGGCCCCCTAGTTGGTACTATGCCCCCCCCCCCCCCCCCCCCCCCCCCCCCCCGATGCTCAGGACTAGTGCGACGGGCCTCAGGAAGCCCGTTTAGGGCATGGCCTAATAATTATAGAAAGTATAGAATCGAGTTTTAGGAAACAATGTCGCCACTTCTTTGGTTGTATTGTGTGCAAAGTCAATGGAGAGTTGAGTGCATTTTCAAAGTACTTTCTAACAAAATTAGAAGTGTTTCTCAGCCCCGGATTCATGTTTTTTTTTAACATTTTTGCAAAAGACTGACCTTTGGAAAAAAGTGGCGTCTAGATGCAACATTCTTTCCCAGTATTATTCCGAGATGTGTGTGTGGAGGGGGAAGCCTGCTTTTTCATTTTTTTTTGGGGGGGGGGGGGGGGGGGGGGCTACATTGCGATATCTGTTACAGTGGGGGAATTCCCTCCCTCCCCAGTAAACAATTGAACAAGTACAGTCTGCATTAAAATATATATGCACATGTAAGTTAACCCATTAAAAATTGATTTAAAAACAAACCAATAAATCTAAAGAACATGCAGATGCTCAGAAAATGTAGTTGACAAGTCCAGAAATTATTTATTGAAATTCTCAACAATGCTTTCTGTTTAACAAGACAATGATTCCTGAGAATATATACGACTTGAAGCTTTCCATGGCAGATGAGATAAATTATTAAGTTCTTCCAAGAAGAGATATCTTTCCACATGGTGTCACCCGCAACTTTATAATTTCATTCCTGAGAACTTAAAGGGAATATACATCATTTGCTTTTGCTGTAATTTTCGGAAATGGATGGAATTGGGGGGTTGGAAATATATAGCAAATATAGTTACACTGACTTTTTTTGAGGTTTTGGGTTCGAAAATGCTATAAAAACCAAGAAAAACAATCATTTTCCTCTAGTCTGGTTCCCTGACTCCATTTAGGAAGAAACAGAGCAGTTTACATATATTGGGGAATAGTAAGGTCAGGGAACCAGTCTAGCTGGCTTGTACCCGTTCATAGGTGTGTAATCAATTGCAAACAAGTGCGATGGTCAACTGGGGCCAGTATTTGAAAAAAAAAGCCAGTTTTTCCAACGCTGATCGGCCGATCAGCGTTGGAAATTGATACAAAAATAACCACTTTTCTTGAAAATGACAGTATACCAGGTGCCATGATTTTACAGGATGCTTTACACTGTCATTCACTCACAGTCCAGCAAGGTATTTCAAAATGATTTGGTAGTTTTATTTTTTCATGTTTGCAAATGTTGTATGTTAAACTTTCTCAGAAATTTGACCTTGAGTGGGGTGTACCCCAAGGATCCTGTTTAGGTCCTTTGTTGTTTATTTTATATACTAGTAGTTTGTTCGAAATTATTGAGACTCAACTTCCAGATGTGCATTGTTATGCTGACGATACGCAACTTTATCTTTCCTTTTGCCCTGATGATGCATCGAGCCAGGCGTCTGCTCTTTCTACATTTATACATGTTGTGCGTAAATGGATGCTCAGTAATGGGTTGATGTTAAATGATGATAAAACTGAATTTATTATCATGGGTACTCGCCAACAATTGGCTAAGGTTAACATTGACAGCATCAATGTTGGGGAGTCCAGACTTTCCCCTGTCTCCGTTGTGAAGAGTCTGGGTGCCTGGTTCGATGCAAACTTGACAATGTCTACTCATATCACAAAAACGTGTGGTACGGCTTTTTATTATTTACATAATATTAGACGTATCAGAAAGTATCTGACCAGGGAATGTACTGAAACATTAATTCACTTTTTTATTTCTAGTCGGTTGGATTATTGCAATAACCTCCTCTATGGATTGCCTGACGTTCAAATATCGCAGCTTCAACGTGTGCAAAATTCCTGCGCCAGACTAGTCTGTAACGCTTACAAGTACTGTCATATCACCCCACTGTTTTTTGATTTACATTGGCTTCCGGTGAGATTCAGGATTGAGTTTAAAATTCTGTTCATAACTTATACAATTCTTTATGGTCTAGCTCCCTTATATTTATGCCATCTAATCCAAAAACGATCTTCATCCAATAACAATCTCAGATCTTCCAATGACAAAACACTCCTCAGCTCAGTTACTCAGCAAGTCGAACCAAGGTCACCCTTGGTGATCGTGCATTTGAGTGTGCTGCACCTAAGTTATGGAATGCACTTCCATTAAATATCCGAGAAGCAAGTAGCCTGAATGTTTTTAAACAATTACTTAAAACTCATCTTTTTATGAGAGCTTTTTATTGATTTTTTGTACCCTGTAACAGTGTTCATTGTATTGTTGAATTTTGCGTATACGTCTGTTTATTTTTATTTTTTTATGACTGTAATGCGCATTTGAACATATTTTAAACGGAATTTTCGCACTATAAATTAATAAATTATTATTATTATATTATTACTATTTTCCCTTTAAAGTGGCTCTTCAACCTCAAGGCCCTAGCTTTCCAAACACCACACTCTGCCCCAACCCTTCTGCCCCTCCTACGTACCCCCTCGCACCCTCTCACTGAACTACTTCTTATTCCTACCACTTACCGGTACTTAAAACCTTACCTGTTTGTGTTTAAACATGTTAATATCTTTCGTCTTGCAAGGAGGAGGATGAAGAAACCTCCCTTCCACCCCACACGTCCTTTTTGAATTTGCGCCTTGAGCACAGTTTTGGTTCAGTGCGTACATGTACTTACGTTTCTAAACCTTACATCACAATGGTGCATTTAAAGCTTAGGCCAAAAAAAAAAATTATCGGTCTCTGGTCAGACCAAAGTTCCGGAATTGATGCGGCGACGCATTTTTGTTGTTGTTTTGGTGGCTTTTTTTTTCAAGCTTGTATTGTACAGACAAGGTGGGTACTATTTTGCTTGTTTGTGTCCTCGATATACATTGGTGTCCTCCATAATTTGCCTTGGTGCCCTTCATCATTTGCCTTGGTGCAATTTCCCCATTCCTTGGTGCTCCTTGGTACAACAATTTGAGGAGGCGCAGCAATAGAGGGCGCTGTTGTAGCTTCCGTGTTAATTTGAAGAAAAAAAAAGGTTGACACGCATGATTTAAATCGACGCGCGCGCTGACCAGAGACCGAGAATTTTTTTTTTTGGCCTTACCTACCAAATGTTTTCTATTTTTCATAACTATTTAATAATTTGGACTGTTGGAAATATCAAAGAAAAAAAAAAACCAAATCAGCAATTTTTGGTTACAAAAATGAGGGGGGGGGGGGCAGATCCAATGGCTATTCCCCCTTTTCAAAAAGGGGGGGGGGGAGATTTCCCCCCTTTCCGGGATTTACAGTGAATGCCCTTGAAACATAACTTATTGAAATACAGAAGTTACTACAACTACTCCTTCGTCTGGGCCATTTTCAAGTCCATGTGACATTCTAATGAGTCTTGATGACACAAGAGGTTATATTTCCGAGCATATGATCTGCCACAGATACGACAGTGGAAGGGTTTCTGGCCAGTATGAACCCATGCATGTATGTCCAGTCCGCATTGGTCAATGAATGCCTTGCTGCATACACTGCAAACAAATGGTCCCTCTCCAGTGTGAATCAGCGCGTGTCTTTTGAAGTTACTTTGCTGAACAAACGCTATGCCACAAATGTCACACAGGTATCGTTTGTCCATCTTGTGGCTACGCTGATGCATTCTCAGACCACTTCGGTATGCAAATGTGTTACCGCACACGTCACATTCATGTGATTTCTTCTTTGTATTAGCAGCGTCACATGTTTTGGCTCTACGTACAAGTCCAATCCTAAATGCTCCCCTGAAGTGACGTGCCTGGTGAACTTGGGCATGAACTCGCTGCCTGAAAGCCTTTCCACAAACGTCACAGTTGAATGGTCGCTGGTCAGTGTGCTTGCGGAAATGTATTTCAAGTTTGCTGAGATGTGAGAAGGTTTTGGAGCACATGCTACAAGTAAATAACTTTACTTCACCATGAATCCGTTGATGACTTCTTAAACTAACTGCACGGTCAAAGGCTTCTCCACAAACCTTACAGAGTAAAGGGTTTTTATCGATGGACATGCATTTGTGCTCGTCCAGTGCCTTTCGGTCAGTAAATGTTTGATTGCACTGGTAACAATTATCGGTCGATTTGGGAAGTTCTTGTTTGGTACAGAATTCTTTCTTACGTGGTGGTGCTCCATCAGCATGCAAGTGCTGAGTGTGAACTCTCAAATGACTTTTCTGGGTAAAGGCTTTGTTGCAGATACTACAAACAAATGGTTTCTCGCCGCTGTGAAGTCGTTGATGGTCAACCAGTGAGGTTTTCTGAGAAAACGCTTTGCCGCACATTTTACAGCAGAATGGTTTTTCGTTTCTGTGTATACGCCTGTGCCTTGAACAATTAGCGCTTCGGCTAAAGGACTTGCCACAAATCAAGCAAGGGTACGGCTTCTCTCCTGTGTGAACTGTTTGGTGATTTTTTAAGGTTTGTCTCACCACAAATGTTTTTCCGCAAGTATCACAGGAGTGTGGTCTCTCTCCTGTGTGAACTTTTAGATGGTAAGCGTGACCACGTTTCCCTTTAAATGTTTTTCCACAAATATCACAAGAGTACTGTGGCCCCTCTTGGACGTGTTCCTGTTTGTGAACGGTAAACTTCCTTTGCGACTTGTTTCTGAAGCAGCGATGTTTGTCAAGCTGACGTCTTTTAGAAAACGTTCTTGGACAGGTGGAGCAAGAGAACGGTTTTCTTGCAGCTTCATCCGACTCTGGCTCAATTTCTATGGTGACAGAGTTTTCAGTTGATGCATCATGGTGTTCTTGTGGCTCAATGTTTACGGTGACGGCGTTTTCAGTTGATGCATCATGGTGTTCTTGAAGCTCAATTTTTACAGTGACAGCGTTTTCAGTTGATGCATCATGGTGTTCTTGCGGCTCAATTTTTACGGTGACGGCGTTTTCAGTTGATGCATCATGGTGTTCTTGTGGCTCAATTTTTACAGTGACGGAGTTTTCCTTTGATGCATCATAGTATTCTTGAGGATCCATTTTTACAGTGACAGCATTTTCATTTGATGCCTCATGTTCTTCTTTGTATATGATGTGATCCATTGTACTCTTGGTCAAAATGGCTAACGCTGACACTGTGGACTCAAAAAGCAGGTATGTCCGGATGAAATGCATCCAGTGGAAGTCAGACTACTCCCAAAGAATACAAATAAGACTTCTACTCCCAGCTTGTTATCCCAACTGAAGAGGCAGACAGGGCATCAGCTCATAACACGCTGTTGGTTTTTCGGGTAACATTTTGGTCAGCCAGACAATGGTGATATCTTGTTAGTTCCCAGTTTGCCGACATGCATATGGAGCCTTTCTCGGTGGTTGTGTAATGCAGTAGACTTGGACTCACAGTGTGTCTTCTATCAACCTGGGAAAATCAAAAGGTAAAGAAGCTGCATAACCACAACCTTCAGAAAAATCTTGCAGTAATTTTGGACACATTTACATACATTACAGGAATACGACATTCACATACACTGATACAGGTACAGGTATGAAATTTAATATTTGTTTCTGATTAATCAGGTCAGTTGTGTCAGTACCCATCCATGGTAGGCCTACAATGTACAGTCTAGCTTCCATAGTGAATATCAAGTGAAAAGGGGCTAAGTTGCAATTTCAGGAAACACAACTCTCAGGAAATTCAGCATGCATGTGTGTCTGTGTATGCTGGAAGTCCTCTTGAGGCATATTGTAATTGTCTGTGGATAGCCATGCGCTTTCACGTATATAAAGAGACTCTTGCACTAGCTCCACTAGTGTGGTAGCCTTTAGTCAAGTCCCACGCGCCTATACCCGGACCATCCGGACACGTAACGCACCCCGGATGCTGGCATGTAAAAAGACTAGCACGAGCGCAAAGCCGCAAGGGCCTTTACTAATCTCGTGGAACTAATCACTTATTAATTTATTCACTTACATTTAATGTAAATCCAGCAATATAAACCAATCATCTAACAGTGGTTTGCGGTTACCAGCAACAGCACCCACGCCATGGCGCGCGTGCTGTCTGGCGCCAGACGACGGCTGATTTACGTCAGTAATTCTGCATTTTCATTGGTCAATTCACAACGGGTAATGCATTATGCATGTCTACCAAATCGGTAGGCAAAATGTAAGGAAAACATAAGTCATAAGCGTTCTCCGCGAGATGGTAAAGGCCCTCGCGGCTTCGCCGCTCGTGCTAGTCTTTTTACGTGTCAGCATCCGGGGTGTGTCACATGTCCGGGTAAGCGCGTTAAAGTACAAAAAAAAAGTAACTGCGCATGTTCAGTGCATATCCGGCAAACTAACGTTTACTGAAGGTTTGCCGTCTCCGGCAAAATATCCACTGCCATAAAAAATTCCCCCGGGCCGGGATGCTTTGCCGAATACAGGTCAACTCGTACGCGAACCAACTCGTACGCGACCAACTCGTACGCGGGTCAATTCGTACGCGAACCGACTCGTACGCGGACCGACTCGTACGCGGACCGACTCGTACGCGGACCAACTCGTACGCGGACCAACTCGTACGCGTGAGTTTAGACGATTGGTTTAGCTCACATGGACAGATGAAATTAGGTTCGGTACGGTAGGTCGGCATAATTTTACCTTTTCTGAAAGGTGGAGATTTTCAAATTAAATGTAGTTGATTTTTGAATCCGCCAGTGCTACTTACAGTAGAAGAATTCTGCGTTTGTTTGTTTTTTTACAAGTTCGCTTGATTGATTGGGAAGTTGTCTTCGCGATAACCAGTATGATTGGTTCCCGCCGCACCGCGCACTGTGTATAAAGAATGCATGATTGAATCACTGTAACCTGTGTATGCCGCGGTATAATTGCTGGTTGGTTAGACCGATATTTGCGAGGTCTATTGTATAAAAAGGAGCTACTATAAAAAAAAAGGAATATAGCATCACGCATGCTTATACAGTTGTACGGACAGTGTCCGCCAGTTTTTTGCTTGGTTCAGATAGTTTTTTAGTCCTAATTATTATATATCCAAATAATATTTTGTAAAAAAAGAAAAAATGGGGAGTTGATTTTTTCATTTTTTGTTAAAATCAGAATTTTATATAATTTCACCGGAAATGCGAGGTTTCTTGGGTCAAATGCGATTTTCTTGGGTCAGAAAATTAATTTTTTGCTTGGGTCCGATAATTTTTTAGTCCTAATTATTATGTATCCAAATTATATTTTGTAAATTAAAACAATGGGGAGGTGAATTTCATTGATTTTTTAAAATTAGAATTTTATTTAATTTCACCAGAAATTCGAGGTTGCCCTAAAAATATTTTTTTTTCTTGGATCCGAAAATTAATTTTTAGCTTTGGTCCGATAATTTTTAGTCCTAATTATTATGTCTCCAAATTATATTTTGTAAAATAAAACAATGGGGAGGTGAATTTGATTTATTTAAAAAAAAATGAATTTTATTTAATATCACTGCAAATGCGTGGTGGCCCTGAAAAGGACCGATTGTGTTTTCAGTTAGTGCAATTGTCTATTCTCTCACTCCCAATCACACACAACGGTCACACATTGAACTACGGACTAACCGTCACACTATTCCCAAATTCTTCCCAACCATGCCAACCCAATCCTCGAAACCACTCCTAAAATGGCCCGCGTACGAGTTGGTTCGCGTACGAGTTGGCTCGCGTACGAGTTGGCTCGCGTACGAGTTGGCACGCGTACGAGTTGGTTCGCGTACGAGTTGTCTCGCGTACGAGTTGACCAATCCGCGTACGAGTTGACTCGCGTACGAGTTGGTTCGCGTACGAGTTGACCTGTTTCCGCTTTGCCGACTAGGCCTACCATGCCTACACAGATACGGACTGTCGTCGGCCCTGGAAACCGTCTTATTCCCTCTTGAGTCTTGGTAATCTACTTGTCATTGCTGTGGTAAACGTGTCTTCACTGTCTTTCCATCAACTAATAGTAATAATTACCTTTTGGGATCACAATGTAGACTTTTAAACTTGATACAGTTTCAATCACAGACATGACATGCATGACAAAGAATGACAGACGTAACTGTTGTTTATTAATGCGCCCTCTTTCGTTCTCATGTCTTATCTGACACAAAATGTTTCTCATCAGCCGGTTGAGGGCGTGCTTACCGGCGATTTTGGTGCGCGAACATGATAATGAATAATTGATACGATGAAGCTTTTGAAGTCTATGCCTAAATAAATAAATAATACATCATCATCATACATGTAATTGACGTGTCAAGAACATGCTCATGGCTGGCATAATTACCGCGAAATGAACTGTTTGACTTAGATGCGTATGAAGGTACGGTAAGTTCTGGTGTTTCAGAGGCAACAGTGACGTGGGTTCGAGCCCGGGCGCGGACACTTGTGGCGTGTGCCCTTAAGCAAGGCACTTAACCATTATTGCTTCGTCCTTCGGATGGGACGTGAAGCCGTAGGTCCCGTGTGTTGTATAATGTCTAATGCACGTTAAAGAACCCAGTACACTTATCGCTAAGAGAAGGGGTTCGCCCCGGTGTTTCTGGCAGTGCGATTATCTTCAGCCATGAAGTCTGCACTTGTAAGTTGTAAGGAAGAAGAAGAAGAATTGGAAAGACAAATCTAATACTAGTTGCTAGTAATGGTAATACGGACTGACGGACAGACTGCATTTCTTCTTCTTCCAAATCCTACTTAACCTAAGTTTACTTTAGCTTGAGTAACTCCAGCTGACATGCTCCATATTCATTCACATGTTACATGTGAATGAATATGGACCATATTCATTCACATGTTACATGTACATGTGAATGAATATGGAGCATGTCAGCTGGGTACAACTATAGAAATGCAGGGCCACTTCACTCTACATCCGCGCCTGCGTGGAGGCGTGGAGCCGCAGTCGACCCAACCTCGTCCCCAGTGCTTACTTTATTTCCAACCGTGTTTCCAATAGTAAACCCTGGATAGTATTTTTTTAAACTTTCTTCCTCTATCCTGATTCGATATTGCAATTGGCTAGTAATGGATTTTTATCGTGTACTTGGTGTTGTCATTCACACTTTGCAGTACGTGTTTTCACGATCATTCGTCCACGCCTTCTCAAAAACATTTCTTTCCTTTTCCAATTTGTTCATATTAATATGAAATGTGATACTGCATGTTGTCTCGATAAGATCGTAACAGTTTAATTAAATAAATCGCGTTTTCGTAACACACTGTGCTCGCGCTGCGACGAATTGACTCTGTTTTTACCCCAGACACCGCGTATAAAAACGAACGATAATGTAACGCACATGCAGGCACCAGACTATTCCTCATTTGCATACGTGTTCAAAAAACTTGCACATGCAAATGATCCAATACCAGGGTGAGAGCAGGTAGTGATGGGCGCGTACTGCTCAACACCCTGGGGTCGAGGTTGCAGTCGACCTACCTCCGAGAATTGTGCCCTCTATTGGCCCGCGTCTCTGCGACTCCGCGACTCCAGTGCCCCACGTCTCAGCGACTAAGCTAAGTCTAAGTATTTCCCCACAAAATTTGAAATGTTTCTTGACTTAAGACTCAGTCCAACACGTCCAATATTCATGTCTTATCAATAATCATCATTTTTGCAATGAACAGATGAATGACCTTTAATGAGATGATTATTATGAAGAAACAGGTGGCGTCAGATTGTAACATTTTTTTCCAAAATGTCAAGACATCACTTAGTTTTACATGTTTTAAGCATGACAAGTTACCATTTTCGGAAAAACGTGACTTGAATTGTAATACAATGTATTACCGGAGGCTACCGGACCTAAGATTCATCAGGAATAGTCAGAATCTTTTGGTCTGGGAACCAGACTAGCTGGGAGTGGGAACGGCTGATGAATTCAAACTCTGATTGGATAGATTTTGTGTGACCTGTGACCTGCAAGTCCTCACAACCATGACCCTGCAATGTTTCAAATGGCCGTTAAGACTGATTCATTACTCTTTTATTCCAATTCATCAATGCTTTTGTTTTCGTTGAAATGCATTATAATGTTTGAAAATCTGTAAAACTTATCTGTGTTGTGAATTTGCGATTCGGTCACTTGCTCAGGCTCCGTTTCGAATTCACGAAGGGTCAATGATTGCATTATGCGACACTCAAAATTTGTACACATCTGGTATGGAATGTGTTCATTTCAATTGGAAGCTTTCGGATAGCATTTGCGCGCATTGGCTAACTGCGGTCTTGAACAGCTTCAGCCAGATGCTTTATACATAGGTCATAGGTCACATCCTTCACAAGATTCTGTGAAGCTCATCAGCCCTTCCCAGCGCCCTGTTTGCAGGGCGGTGGGTACGAGCGAAGATGTGGCACAGCCCCCAATGTGGCACACTATTTTTTCGCCTCTAGTGCCTTGTTTAAAGGGAAAATACAACATTTGCAAATATCAAAAAATAAAACTACCAAATCATTTTGAAATACCTTGCTGGACTGTTAGTGAATGACAATGTAAAGCATCCTGTAAAATCATGGCACCTGGTATACTGTCATTTTCAAAAACAGTGGTATTTTTGTTTCAATTTCCAACGTTGGTCGGCCGACCAGCGTTGAAAAAAACTGGTTTTTTTTCAAATACTGGCCCCAATTGACCATCGCACTTGTTTGCCATAGGTTACACACCTATGAACGGGTACAAGCCAGCTAGACTGGTTCCCTGACCTTATAATTCCCCAATGTATGTAAACTGCTCTGTTTCTTCTTATATGGAGTCAGGGAACCAGACTACAGGAAAACGATTGTTTTTCTTGGTTTTTATAGCATTTTCGAACCCACAACCTCAAAAAAGTCAGTGTAACTATATTTGCTATATATTTCCAACCCCCCAATTCCATCCATTTCTGAAAATTACAGCAAAAGCAAATAATGTATATTCCCTTTAAGTTGTTAGAGCAAAATTGTTACCTCATTTTTTTCACAGAAAGTAGCATTTCATCAAGCTCTAAACATTCCCGTTCATAAATCTTGAGTTTACGTACCCGCTACAAAATTCAAGGGAAATTCTATTTTGGCGTGATTTTCCAATTTGTTTTTTAGAAGTGCACAATGAAGATGATGAACCCTTTGAAAATTTGCCCCAAAAATATAACAGTTTGCAGACAAACTTTGCGTATGAGTGCAGATAAAAATGATTCATTAAAACCGATATCATTGATCAACTTTTTAGAAATTCTTAAATGTAAATTAATGTGGGATTTTCTGCGATTTCTTCAAGTACTCTACGTTAGGGAACTCTCGGCCAAATTTGTGCCCAATTTCCGGAAGTCACCGTCTTTGAATTTCGGACTAAATTTCAGGACACTAAAATTGTTCACAAAGGTTCAGCTAGAAGCATTAGGCCTATTAGGGTAATAATAGTACCAGTATTTAAAGCTATAGTCCATCATTTGCAGCCATCCGAAAAGTAACTGGCGTAATTATTGTTGAAAAACATACTTGGTTGAAAGATAGTAAGGGAACTAAACTCCCTGTGAAATTATTCCTTCTGGGAAGCTGTCATTTTGAAGTAATCAACGAAAGAAGGCATTTCCAACGGTGATTCTTAAGAAGCACCGTAGGAAAATTTAAATTAGTAGTTCGTTTTGTTATTCAGCGCAGCGCGCACAAGTATTGGAACGACGCACACGCTCGCGCGGTTGTTATAATTCGTCGGATCAGTGCGCTACGTCGCGTATAGCTGCAATTCAAAACAATTCAAAACATGATTCAGTGACTTTTGATTTGAAATTGAGATCTTAGAATGCTGTTTTTCTCGGAATGTACAGCTGAAGCTTAGCTGAAACTTCATCGGGTTAGTTGTTCAGTATCCTTCATTAGATTTTGAACCCTTTTGTTGCTTCAAATGAACAAAATGCACAAATTACAAATGATGGACTATAGCTTTAACCAAATGAATTTTAAGTTTCTCAACAAAAAAGTTTGGCGACACTACATGAGGAACGTCAGGGGAAGCATTGGAGTGCGCCACGTTAGGGTACACATATACAATGCTTGCTCACTGTACATGTATACATGTACATTGTACAACACTCATATTTTATCATGTTTATACCGACATGTGTGCATGTACAGAGCATGTGCGTACATGTACATGTGGTTCAAAAGTTAGCAATTTGGACTTGATCAATCTGCAATCAGCACCCCCTTTGCGTGTACACGCATGTATTCATTGGTGCATGCTACATCATTACTATGCATTATTCCAGAAACAGCTTGACCAATCAAACTCTTTTTTTATCAAAGTTACCACATTTTGAAGACTCGTTCATTTTTTTAGTACCGATATCGTTAACTGGATTCCCAACTGCAATTGGGATGATGTTCTACTTGGGCCGTAATCAATTTCCCGGGTTTTTGTGTAGAGTCGAGAAGATGTTCTTGATATGTGCATCAAATGCCATGGGATGCGAAGCCCGGTCACTGTGCACTGCTGAGATGACATCATCACATCAATGAAGAGTTAGCAGAATGCATCTTTCACAGGTAGCTGTGATGTCATGGATGATGCCAGCAATATGGCTTGTAGTGGCGGTAGGGTTGGTATCGACAAATCTGACATCCTCAACAGTGGGTAAGTCTTAACATCAAATTAGGTTTTGCCCTTCACTGACGTTTAAACACTGTATACTCAGTGTGTTACCTCCCGAGTGAAAGCTGGAAAAAATGACTCGGGTGGGACTCGAACCCACGACCTCCTGCTTTCTAGTGCAGATGTCTTACCACTCGACCACCGAGCTAACGGGATCGGTTGGCTGGTTCGAATCTAATGTACATAGCAGTGGGTACCGCATAAGGTTACACCACTATGTTCCGACACCCCTATGTTCCGACTGCACATATTCCTATTCCTAACCCTAACCCTAACCCGAACCCTAACCCTAACCCTAACCGGGAGTAACACAATCTAGGTTGTCGGAACATAGGGGTGTCGGAACATAGAGCAGTCACCCCGCATAAACTATTATAAGATGGAATTTTGCATCGGGTGATATAAATCAAATTAGGTTTTTCCCTTCACTGACGTTTAAACACTGTATATTCAAACCTAATTTGATTTATATCACCCGACGCAAAATTCCATCTTATAATAGTTTATGCGGTACCCGCTGCTATGTACATTAGAATCGAACCAGCCAACCGATGCCGTTAGCTCGGTGGTCGAGTGGTAAGACATCTGCACTAGAAAGCAGGAGGTCGTGGAGGTCGTGGGTTCGTGTCCCACCCAAGTCATTTTTTCCAGCTTTCACTCGGGAGGTAACACACTGAGTATAAAGTGTTAAAACCTAATTTGATTTATATCACCCGACGCAAAATTCCATCTTATAAAATACTTAACATGAAATGAAAGTTAGGATGCTGAATCCCAAAATACTGAACAGTGAAAGTAGTCAACAGAGAGAGAGAAAGACTCTGTAAATAAGATCCAACACCTAAAATAAAAGGTGTTAAATTCAATGAGTATGTAACGGACTGAGTAGTCTGAATAAGTGGTGGGGTGCCACCCAAATGGATAGCATCTAAAAACAATTCCCCCGAACAGCACAAAAGAAAATAAGGCACACAGCGACACAGAAATTCGGAGGGCCCTCCAGGAAACAACAATTTTATTAAAAATGGAAATTAAGAAAAAAAGCAAAGAAAATGGGGTGGGCTTAAAGAAAACTCCTTGACCCTAACCCTCCAGGGTATTTTGGCTAGAAACCCTGCCAAACGCAGCAACATGCAACACTTGTCTAAGTGACAAGCCTGCCCAGTGTAGCAAGATCCATCAGGCCAAATTTAAGTCTCAAGGCCAAACTGCTTCAGAGTCTGTGGTCACTGAATGCAGCAGGATACAACTGTGGCATTGTTCAATGGGACTAGCTCTCATTGTCTCAGAAGCAGCTGTTTATGCACTAGTGTTGGCAGCTGAATGCATCAAAGTGCACCAGACTTTTCCACCTGATGCACTGTGTTGCGTCTGGCAGGGTTAGGGTTAAAGACATACCTTAGAGCAATGAAAATTACATGCGTGTAATACATTTGAAGCAGAGACCAGTACAGCAGGAAGGTGCTGGGGCTGGATGCTGGAGTAACGGGGTCCGCTCATAACTCCGACGCTTCATAGGTCCGACGCCTCATAAGCCTGAGATTTCGGACTTATGAGGCGTCGGACTTATGAGGCATAAAATTGATTTATTCCGCCTCATAGGTCCGACGCTGCATCAGTCTAACACCTCATAGCTCTGACGCCTCATTAGTCCGAAACAGCATTTGTCCATTGTCGGACTTATGAGGCATCGGACCTACATGTATGAGGCGGAATTTGTGCCTCATAAGTCCGACACCTCGTAAGTCAGAAATTTCGGACTTATGAGGCGTCGGACCTACATTTGTATGAGGCGCCGGACATATGATACGGCCCTGGAGTAACTGGCAAAAACGGCATGAATCCAAGAAATTGAAGCCAAAAAAAAATATGAGGTGGGGAGATAAATCAAAGAATAAAAATCACAGAGACTTAGCTGGAACGCAACAAACCAAAAATCCCCTCTGATGTTCCTTCGACCCGCTGAACAGCAAAATGACCACACCCCAACCACTAGCACCACCCTTTCATACAGTATGGTCTCTGCCCTTGTAGATGGGGAATATGAAAAGGAACTACCTGTATGTACAACCCAAAAGAAAGCATGCATAGATGATCAATGCTGGCCTGCTAGGCCAGGCAGGCCTGGCTGCAATTTTTTTTTTTCCCCAAACTTCATCCAGACATGAGAAACAAAATAAAATTTGATAAAAAATAAATTAATTCGAACACGTGTAATGAAATTCAGACTATTTTCCTCCAAAGCCTCAGATTAGAAAAGAAAAACAATTCGGGTAAAAATGGTGATTGGAACCCACATCGCGGGGATCCCTCGCAGTACAAAATCACGACCCTATTGACTGAGCTTTTGAACTGCTCAGCACATCCTGAAAATTCATGGTGATACCTGCGTACCTATCATAAAAGTATCACAGAGGGCGCTTAACATCCTGTACTACAGATATTGTTTGGGAAAAAAAATAATTTGGGGCCTGGCCAGGATTAGAATGCCAAGTAAGGCAAAAAAAAAAAAAATATTCGGTCTCTGGTCAGACCAAAGTTCCGGAATTGACGCAGCGACGCGGCTTTTTTTTTTTTTTCAAGCTTGGATTGTACAGATAAGGTGGGGTACTATTGTGGTGCTTTTTTGGTGTCCTCATGTACATTGGTATCCTTCATAATTTGCCTTGGTGCTCTCGATCATTTGCCTTGGTGCAATTTCCCATTTCTTGGTGCTCTTTGGTAAAAAAAAATTGAGGAGGTGCGGCAATAGAGGGCACTGTTGGAGCTACCGCGGAACATTTTGGAAAAAAAAAAAGATTGACGCGCATGATTAAAATCGACGCGCGCGCTGACCAGAGACCGACTCTTTTTTTTTTTTGGCCTAACCAAGGGGTTTTGTTGTACAGTTAAGTTGAACTTGAACTTAGATAATATTGGCCACAAGAAAAAAGAAAAGTTAACTCTGGGCACAGCATTTTTGTTACCAATAGATCTACAAAATGCAAGATAAATTACTCATTTTTCAATTCATGTTTTCTCTTTGTTGTTCTTCTTTTCTTCCAGGATTACTTGAGGTTTCTGCATTTAGCAGCGTGATTACCCAATCCAAGTCAGATCTCATCATGAGTTCTCACCAATCGGACTTCATCCAATCAACACAAGGTTTGTCGCCCTCGCAAGCCAGCGCTTCATCCGCTATGGTTGCCATTAGCAACGCATCTGCCTTGCCATCTGTAACCTCATTTGCTTTACTTCATTCTGCTAATCACTCAACGCCATCATTTACACTTGGGTTAACATCTGGGCCAATGGGAAGGCAGCTTGCATCATCATTGCTCTCAAATCCACCAATGGAAACACAGGTGTCATCCATGCTTTCAGACCAGCCAATAAGAACACAGCTTTCATTCTTATCAGTTTCATCCCCACCAATGGAAACAGTTGTTTTACAGCAAGATGAACAAATATCGCTCATTTCCATGAGTACCTCCCTTGTTCAGTCAGCGTCTGATCAAAGTTTAGACTTATTTCAGGTATCAAATATAGTCACAGCTGATCTGGGAAGTTATGTTGTTGAAACAGCCAGTAGTGTTTTACAGCATTTTCAAATGTTCACAAGTCCCCCAAACTCTCTTCTTGAAGTCAAGACTACACAAGTTCCTGTATCTGGGTCTGTGATACCTTCTCCGAGTGAACCATTGCTGTTTTCTAGTGTTCATGATTCGGCAACAAACAGACCTACTGCATCAAGTGTCTACACCTCTGAACAAATCCTGCCAAGTTTTGACGTGTATACAGAATCAGTACCGTTCTCTTCAGCCACTTTAGGTTGGTCATACCAAGTGAGCATGTCAGAAATGACGAGTTTGTACAAAAAGACACCAAGTCTTATCTATGGCAACGGAATGTCATCAAAACTGGAGAACACTTTCCCTGTATCCATAGACGTCTCGGTGAATCTTGCTGCACTGTCTGAAGAATACCCTCTACACACCAGCTATTCAGGTTTCGTCGCCATGGAAATGTCAGCCTCAACGCATGCAGTTCTGAGGGATTCTTTATCAGTTGATGGAGATCCGTTATTCCACAGCAGCCATCTTGAATCCGATCATCAGAGCACCGAGGCTGTCACCATAGTAACACCATCATCATCAATGACTTTTCCAAGTAAATTGTCATCCAATCTTTTAGAAACTGCCCAGCCAACTGATGATGTGGTTGCCAAGGTAACAACGTACCGAATGCCCTTGACAACAAGTCTCGCCACAGAACAAATGACTGAAGTAGCGCCGTATCCGACATCTGGTCCAGGTACCGTGAGCACTTTGAACAAAATCAGTGTAATTGGTAGCAACTCGATCAGTGTCAGCACATCTCTGCATGAAATACAATCACCCACCGCCAACAATCAATGCACAAATTCTCTGAACTTATATTCTGATCTAAACTCAAAATTTCTTGCAAGTCAGTTATTGGCTGCAGCTTCAACTTTGAATGAAGATTATTCTTTAGCTATGCAAGCATCACAACCTTCTCCGTCTTCACCTCCGAGCCAACAAATGCTCATTCCCAGTTCCTTTGCTGGACTGCAACTGTCAAGTACTTTCCTGTTTACACCGACCGCTGTTTCACATTCATTGCATGGAGATCAAATGCTACTCTCATCCATGTTTGATGGACTTTCACCATCAAGTCAGATCTTCTCTTCAGCTAAACAGTCTCCTCAAACTTCTTCGCTTTATTCCCACTTTAGCCTATTGCCAGCTTCTGGCACCTTCGATGGTAGTATGCTCAGCACATTCTTGCCCTCAGCGGAAGCTCTGTATCCTACTTCTTCGCTTTCATCATCTGCAAATCAAACACCAGCCATCTCCAGTAAATTGGCTGAATTTCCATCATCGAATCAAACTTCACTACGTAGTCCGTCGCTTGGGCTGACTCCGAGCTACATTCCTATATTTTCCAGCTGGGTTGATGGACTGTCAACTACGGATTTTAGTTTATCCACAAAAAGTCCACAAATTTCAAGTTCTGTGTTGTATTCATTGATTTCAAGCCCATTGCCTGCTGTGTCTTCTGTAACTGGGCTTGTACACACGTATAGTGTGAATTTTAGTTCATCAACTAAAACTCCACAACTGACTGCTTCGCTTTCATTGCTTACAAGCCCACTGCCATCAATGTCTAGTATGAGTGATAGACAATCAGCTGAGTATTTTAGTTCATCAACTAAAACTCCGCAACTAACTGCTTCGCTTTATGCAAGCCCTCTGTCACCTATGTCAAGTGTGACTAGTGGACTATCAGCTGAGGATTTTAGTTCAACTAAAACTCCACAACTGACTGCTTCACTTTCAATGCTTACAAGCCCAATGCCATCAATGTCTAGTATGAGTGATAGACTGTCAGCTGAGGATTTTAGTTCATCAACTAAAACTCTGCAACTAACTGCTTCGCTTTCATTGCTTGCCAGCCCACTGCCATCAATGTCTAGTATGAATGACAGACTATCAGCTGAGGATTTTAGTTCAACTAAAACTCCGCAACTAATTGCTTCGCTTTCATTGCTTACCAGCCCACTGCCATCAATGTCTAGTATGAGTGATAGACTATCAGCTGAGGATTTTAGTTCATCAACTAAAACTCTGCAACTAACTGCTTCACTTCATGCAAACCCTCTGTCACCTATGTCAAGTATGACTAGTGGACTATCAGCTGAGGATTTTAGTTCAACTAAAACTCCACAACTAACTGCTTCGCTTTCAATGCTTACAAGCCCACTGCCATCAATGTCTAGTATGAGTGATAGACCATCCGCTGAGGATTTTAGTTCATCAACGAAAACTCCACAACTAACTGCTTCGCTTTCAATGCGTACCAGACCACTGCCATCAATATCTAGTATGAGTGATAGACCATCAGCTGAGGATTTTAGTTCAACTAAAACTCCGCAACTTACTGCTTCGCTTTCATTGCTTACCAGCCCACTGCCATCAATGTCTAGTATGAATGACAGACCATCAGCTGAGGATTTTAGTTCAACTAAAACTCCGCAACTAACTGCTTCGCTTTCATTGCTTACCAGCCCACTGCCATCAATGTCTAGTATGAGTGATAGACTATCCGCTGAGGATTTTAGTTCATCAACTAAAACTCCACAACTAACTGCTTCGCTTTCATTGCTTACCAGCCCACTGCCATCAATGTCTAGTATGAATGATGGACTACATGTATCAGCTGAGGATTTTAGTTCATCAACTAAAACTCCGCAACTAACTTCTTCGCTTTCATTGCATGCAAGCCCTCTGTCACCTATGTCAAGTCTGACTAGTGGACTATCTGCTGAGGATTTTAGTTCATCAACTAAAACTCCACAACTAACTGCTTTGCCTTCATTGCATGCAAGCCCACTGCCAGCATTTTCTACTGCCATTGCCAGTTATTCTAGTAAGTCACTTCAACTGATGTCACAAACAGAACCATATCAACCGTCAAGTCGAAGACTCCTAGCTGTAACAACAGCAACAGTTGCCATGACAACCAGCTCAACGTACCCAACATTGGATCAGTCATTCTCCACAAATTTATACTGGCTGAAAGTAGGTGAGTCCTTTATTCTTAAAGAAAAGATCTTTTGGGCAATTCCTCGGTTACTCACGTTACATTTTTGATGTACTTTTGAGTTTCCTTGGGCTGTTATTACCTTACTGAAAAGGTTTAATAACTGTTATCCCCATGGTAGATAGAGTAGACCTAGACCTACCTAAGCACCAAAGATGACATCCAGGAAAATGTGCTATGTATGATAAATAAAACGCACAAAATCAGTTACTCACGTTACATTTTCGTAATGTTAGTAACCAATTTTGTGCGTCTTGTTTATCATACTTAATACATTTTTCTGGATGTCATCTTTGGTGCTTAGGTAGGTCTAGGTCTACTCTATCTACCATGGGGATAACAGTTATTAAACCTTTTCAGTAAGGTAATTACAGCCCAAGGAAACTCAAAAGTACATGTAAGTAACCGTGGAATTGCCCTTTTGGAAGATGAATACAAAAAGTGTTCTCCCAAAAGACATGATTGGTTGTTTGTAAATGGAAGAAATCATCAAAACAAATTTTTTTTTTTTATAATAAAACGGATAAAAGAAACTGATTCATATTGTTTATTGGATGACTTTGCTTATTGGTGTCAGATATATATTGCTACGTGGAGTAAGTTCTGGTGAGAACGGTTAGTTGAAGAGTGGTTGATTTGTGGTGAATTATACACAGGTTCTGCGTACTAAAGCAACGTACCGATAAAATAATAATTGTGCTTATACAGGGTGTTTCAATAAAAAGGAAACCCAACTTTGAAGAACCAGTATGGACAGACTACGGTAAATGTTTACTGGCTATAAAACTGGTATCATCTGAAAGCGTAATCTCTATTCTTTTCACTGATACCTTGTCTACATTTCCAGGGTCATGCATCACTGAGCGCCACTGTCATGAGATTCTGATGCGAAATTGCAGTTGGTTCACTTTCATGTCAATAAGAGAATATGTATTCAAGAAGAAGACATGAGTGCCAAAAAAGAAACCAAAAAATCAAGTCGGGTTGGTTTCAAAACTGGATTTTATTGTTTGTCATGAATTTCTCGTTTTGACCAAGCCACGTTCAAAAACAATGTTCAATTCAATTTTCCCAAGGATTAACATTTAAGCCATTTCACAGACATTTCCGTAACAATAGGCACACCGTGCCCAGTGGATTTTGTTTATGAAAGTGAACCAACTGCATTTTTGCATCCAGTTTTCAAGACAATGATGCTCGGTGATGAATGACTCAGAAAACCTAAACACGGTATCATTGAAAAGCATAGAGATTACGCTTCCAGATGATACCAGTTTTACAGCCAGTAAACATATCGTCTGTCCATACTCATTCCTTGAAGTTGGGTTTCCTTTTTTTTTAACCACCCTGTATAGCGCTTTTCATCGTATCATCAATCTCAAAGCGCTTTACAATAATTCCCCCGTTCATCAGGCCATGGGACCACGCAGCAGGGCTCAATCGGTCCTCGACCCTCACTGGTACCCATTTATACTCATGGGTGGACAGAGGCAATTGTAGTAAAGTGTCTTGCCCAAGGGCACAAACACCATATTCCTGGTACGGTTCGAACCCACGCACCTTATGAGTCAGACACTGTAACCACTGGACCATGGCGTTCTGCAGATTTCTAGTCATACTCTGGTAAAAAAAAGTCATCACAAAACGTCTGGGTCCTGGCTCCCTGCTGTGCATTATGATTTGCACAGTTATCGGTAACCAGTGATGAAACCATGTCCTGCAGTCCGGTTCCAAATTGTTGATGAAGTAGTTGAACCATCCGGCGTTCATTATTAAGGGAATAAATGTGTGTTCGGGAGGTATTATAACACTCTCTTTAAGACCGTAGGGAGTCTGGATGGGCGATAATTACCCTCGGCTTCGCCTAGGTAATTATCACCCATCCAGACTCCCACCAGTCTTTATAAACAGAGTGTTTAATACCGACCGAACACGTATTTATTCCCATTCATAAATACCTTTTTCGGTCAAAAAACAAATCTTTTCAGTCCAAAAATCAAAACAAGTCAAAAAATAGACGTCGCCAACCATTTTGTTCAACAATTTTACTTCATGTTTTACGAAACACCCCTCTGACTATAATATGGAATGCCCCTCCACAACTCGTTACCTTACCAGGACATTGGCGTGCGCGTCGCGCATACTGCGAGTTGTGGCGCAAAATGCAGCGGGGCTGGTGTAGTGTGAATTTCGGACCATGAAATACTGATTCACTGGTAGTATTGCGCATGCATGTGGGAGGAATGTGAACGTTCAACCAATGAAACGCTAAAAGGCACCGGATTTCATGGGAGTCCAAATTTCATGTGACACTGGAAAAGTGTTTAAGACTGGCTAGCATCCGTTTAAGACCGGCCACGTGACGTGCTCTCGACCAATAGGAATGCGTAAACTGTCTTAGGTATAAATGAACGTCCTTTTGCAAGTTGTTATGGTTAATGAGTTAACACAACTTTTGTGCACGTCATGTAGAATTTGATTATCGTTCTTGCAGATGTTACTATTTCAGAGGACGTCGATGTCAAAGAGAGAGGTTTCATCACCGCCATGGAGACCAGTATTGCCAGGGCTTACTCTGAGGGGAAGGCCCGTAAGGATGAACGTGCCACGGCCGTTCAAGATCTGCTGGAAAAACTCAACCCTGATAACGATCCTCTGCTGAGTGTACGAAGGAAAAGGGCCGTTACGATCGATGGCAACACAGCACAGGTATGAAGTTGGGGTTTTTGAGGGTTGCATATTTGTGACCCACTCCAGTAAAAGGTGATATAAGTCGTGAAAAATAAAATTCAAGTTATATGCACGACTGGAAAGCCCACAATGTAAGCTTTCATTTGGTATATGACACAGCTGTATAGCCCTTCTCGTTGTGGAGATACGACGAATTTGCATATTAATTAGTTCCATGGAGTTCAAATTACACAACTGAGAAAACAGACTTTGAAATAGCTGGCTCTGTTGTAGATTTGGGCGTGAAAAACTCACTTTTAATCTCTTAGCAACCAATATGTTCCTGTTTTACTATCACTTTTAAACTTTGGATATTGATTCTATAATGAGTATTTTCAATGATTTTTGGGAAAAAGTGACTTTTTGAAACCAGATTAGTATATATTGTGGCTAATTTGCACATTGATTAAAATTATAGTTTTTGCATGTTAAATAAAGAGAACAATGCACACAAAATAAGGTAATTTTTTTTCCCCATTTTTCATTGAAATCAACTTTTCTGTGAATGAATCCTCAAACTTTAGGTTTCAAAGATGTCATTTAAGCCCAAAAAAAGGAATTTGGATTTTTGACGGAAAATGTCACCCTCTCAACGTTCAGCGGGCCATATTACACGTAAAAGCACATTGCGACTTATATCACCTTTTCCTGGAGCAAGTCACAAAATGCCCTGAACAAGGCTAAAAGAATAGAAGTTAGGAATCAGCATTCCTCTTGAAACAGGACAGATCATAGGTTGGAGGGAAGCAAGCAAACATTGTTGTTGAAAGATGTCAACAGAAGAGCGACAGGTGGCTATTATTTTTCCAAGAACTAGAAGGGGAAAGCAACCCATTGCTGTAGGTAGTAAGCTCCAAAATTGTGTAATTACATTAGTCAATAGTTGGCACGTGTTCAAAGTCGTCTTTCAGTAACTACCAGGGCGTGCAGGGTGAGGTCCTAAAGGGTGCTATTTTACTCTTCAGTTTATTGCTATTAGATTTTCTGTCCAATTCTGTAACGAAATTTTCATATGTATGTTTTGAAGAAACGGGAAATTATTTATTCCATCCTAATTAGACGCTTTTTAATATCCCTCTAAAATAACGGTTGATGTTTTAATTGCTTTTGCGGTCATTACGCATAAAAGTGAATAATTGTTCGGCTCCAATATTTGGTTTGGGTGCATTAAAATAAAGTTTATATTGATACCTCCTTCTAAAGTGAATTTGTTTTGTATTGCTTTAAAAAAATGCATTTCAAAAAGACGGAAGTATTTATTTTCGAGGTGAAACTCTGAGCATGGCCGGGGAGATCGAGAGCAACTTGAAGTTGTTTTATTGATAAACGTATTAGGCCCGATGTACATTTCTTCACTAATTCTACATTACAAAGAAAAAATTGAAAGGACTACATGCAGACAACATCTCCAATAAATAAGTTCTATAGAATGCAGAAATCAGAAGCCATGGATAGTACACTTTTCCGTATCACGACAATCGGTGGTTAATTTGTATAAAAAAGTGCAGTTCATGTACTGTACAAATAATTTAGACCGTATTTTGAGGGAAAATGCTTCCTGACAATACATTTTTGCAGTCTTTGTGCTAGATGAATCCCGCAGGGTGTGAAGTTAAAATATTGCCCAAGGGTCAAGAAACTTGCGGTAAGGAATTTTCATTCCGATTTCAGGAAGTTGATTTCCACTTGTCAACATTTAACAAACGATGTGTCGGAAATTTGCCACCTATCAAAAAACAAATCTCAGGAAAATATTCGGGAACACAGCGCCTTGCTCTCGGTTTAATAACTAATACCGCCGACGCAACAAAGCCTGAATATTACCGGAGCACTGACCGGTAGCTGGTTACGCGAACTTCACGTACGATATGTTCGCACACTTCGCGAACTCAGCAGCTGTAGCATATTAGCATAGTTTTAGCATAACAAAGGCGCACTGTCATGCGATGCAAATGAACCTGCAGAGCTCGATGTTTACTCGTAACTTGGGATCAAAATTAGTTCGCGAACTTCGCTGACTTCGCGAACAGTCATTATTGAAGCCTGCCCTTATTGAAAAGTGAGTACTGGAGCACCAGCACTGAGCAGCTTAAAATCAGTATACCGAACGATCACTATTACATGTACATACAATTTCTGTGGATCTCGCGATATAGCAGCATTCCAATGTATCTGTAAAACAAACAGACATGCAAATAGACAAACTGACCAACAGGCTTCCTTACAGATAGACAACAAACTAACAGCACTGACAAGACCAATGGCTGTAACATGTGCAGGTCTGTTACTATCGATGGAAACACAGCATAGGTACAGACAGATAGGCCAACAAACAAACAGCCCAACACATAGACAGACAGACAGCCCAATAGACTGTCAGTATCGGGCGATTCCACAAAATTATAAAAAAATCAAAAATTCAAATGACACGAATGAAACATGTATATCACTGTGAAGACTGCTATCAGTATTGTATTGAAATATTTCTAACAATGTTCAACTGTTCAGCCGTTACTGTAAAACTGGGAAAAAATCAATAATAAATACACAACAACATCAGTTTGTCTACTCCATGGTGTTTCGAGCCAATTTCTATTACAGCAAAAAAAGTTGGACGATTACTTTCTGTTTTAAATAATTGTAGTAACTAACTCGTACAGTTTATCAGAATAAAATTCTTGTGTATAATTGTCACTTTTATTATTCACACTGAATTGTCCGAAATGTAGGTCCAACATTGTGGAACTGCCCTATTACAAAACATAGAGAGAATTTAAGATCTGAACTACAACAGCCAAGACATACTTGGAAGATTTAATCCAAAAACACCCTTGTGGAATGAGACGCTGTCTCATGAATTATTATATTATTCCTGTTTTTCCTACCCCACCCAGGTGATTGACCTATCACGTGATGTCAACTATCCAACCAACGTCGTTTTAGTGTTCTACATAGCAGAGGGAGATACCAGTATTCCAGCAGGGGAGTCCAAGGCAATATTCAGTGAATTGACCCTCCAAGAGATGACATTTTACCTCCAAGTAGTGGTCAAATCTTATCCAACTGGTACGCGATAGTTGTTAATTTTGATTTTTTTTCTTTTAAATCACCTTCCAAGTAGACGTTTTCCCCTTCAAAAGTATATTTTCAGCATAGTTACAGCACATGCAAAGTGCCCTGCTTAGTCACATTAACCCTCCTGCTGTCTGAGCAGTCACAGACAGTCAAAAACATCAATCCTCTTCCCCTGCCATGCCTTTTACACAGGCTAGTCACCAACAGTCAGATCATATTTCAAGCAAGCACTCTGACTAGTCAAGTTAAGTCAACAGACAAAAGCAGGCAAGTGGTATAGGCACAGTTGGGTAATCAATCGCCTACAGTCAGAAGAAATCTGTATCAAGTTACAGTCACAACCAGTCAATCCTGCTTTATGTAGGCTGGGAGCTCTTAACTGTTAAAAACAGTCACTTGATTGATTTTGACTGAAAGGACAACTTTGTACAGAATGTATGTGTGCATAGTGGGGGCTGTGGTCCAATGGTTACGGTGTTTGACTCGTGTGCCCTGGTACATGGGTTCGAATCCCGACAGGAACATGGTCTTTGTGCTCTTGAGCAAGGCACTTTACCATTATTGCTTCGTCATTCGGATGGGACGTAAAGCCGTAGGTCCCGTGTGTTGTTGTGTAATGCACGTTAAAGAACCCAGTAACACTTATCGCTAAGAGAAGGGGTTTGCCTCGGTGTTTCTGGCAGTGGCTGCAATATGCGCCGCAGCACCTTGTAAGTCCTTATAAAGGTGCTATATAATGGGTCTCACATTTCTCATAAACTTCATTTACCTGTCTTTAAAATAGACATAATTTCAAGCGCTTTGAGTACCTAATGGACCGACCCAGTAAGCACCGCCCCATGGTATTCTGACCAATCACAGCCGTGATTTATGTCCGACAGGCGTGTACAAAAGTCCGACATACGTGCACGCGCGTATGATGCGCGCGGCAGGAAAATGCAGTGTGGCATTGGAGAGGAGCACGTGTTAATTTGCCCACGTGCGCAGTGGGTGGGGCTTACTGGATCGGTCCATTGTTGGTAGATACGTGCGCTATATAAGACTCCGGTATTATTATTGTTTTAGGAGGGTTGACTTATATTTTGTATCAAGTCATTTTACTACCACAACTTTATCCAATGCAGTTTGTTCAGAAGAGAGCTTTTGGTTTTTAATATACAGTAAATTTGGATGTCTTTGGTTAGAAGCAAAAAATAATATCAAATAATACTGTTATGTTTCTGATTTGGCATATTGTGTACCTGTCTTATAATTAATTGCAGAGTTTCTTGAGGTCGTCGTCGTAGCAACGACCTCGCCCCCTGACCTGACCCCCCTATGGATTGTCTTGGGTGTCTTTGGTGGTCTTGCGTTGCTGTGTACGGGATGCTGCTGCTGTTTCGTGCTGTGTCGTATCTGTTGTCGTCCGCGACCCAAATCAGCCCGCGATGGCCCCATGGATATGGATACATTGAAGATGCTTCAACATAAGCAGAAGGTGGGTGGAGCTACAGGAAGTTTATGTGGGGGTGATTACGGGAGATTTGACATATAAAGTAGGAATTAACCTTATTCAATTTAATGATAAAATTTAAGATTTATATAGCACACTGTCAACCAAACACAGGTTTTCAAGGCACTAGATTAGCGGGAGCAGTAAAATGTACTGAACATTATTTTTCTTCCCGTTCATCAAGGGGTGTGCATCAGAACTAAATCCTTTTACCCGCACTGTAAAAAAAAAAAAGGTAAAGGGGACGAACCTGTATTCACAGGAACGGAGTGCCCATCTCTCTTTCATAGCGATTGGGCCAGACTCATATGCTGCTGTGGGGGGATCGCCACACCTCCTCCACAGCGAGTCTGTTACCTTCCCAGCATTGAATAATGCCGGTACCCATTTAACACCTGGGTTGAGAGGAGTAATTGAGGTGAAGTGCCTTACTCCAGGGCACAACACGCATGGCCACGGTGGGGTTCGAACCCACAACCTCTCGATCACGAATCCTGTGCTCCACCGCTAGACCACACGTGCCGACACTTGTAATGTTTTTGTGTGCACTTTTATAAACAATCTGAACAGCAACTTCCGGGATGTAAATTTTGGGGTTGGGGGTTTCTTTTACTGGTTCCCGTGTTTTACTTCAATAGGGTACCCGGTTCCCGAACTACCCGTAAATGCACACTCATTGGCAATGATTGGGTCAATGAAAACCAGTCGGTGACCCCAGGCTACCAAATCTCACCCATATTGAGCTTGAGACTCGCGCATTCAGGTTGTTCTCATGCTCTCACCCGCACATGGGATTTCTCACGTAAAAAAATTATGAATAAAACTCGAAAATGATGTTTAAATGATGATCTTTTGCTAAAAAACAATTCGGGCGATTCACAATGCAGTGCACCACCAAGAGTTTGCCACGGAGAGTTCAATTTTCCCAGTGCATTGTGGGAGATGGTCGACAAATTCGCAGCGCGGGACATTTGAAATTGTTAGTTTTCCCGGCCAGAAAGCTCGTAAGCGTATGATTCGGGTATCTGTTTGCCCTTTTCTTTTCATTTTATCAATATGGAGTTTTTTTGTAAGGCGGCAGAACGCTTTGCCCCAATCTATAACAAATTAGCTCAAGTTTTCTACTGACACTCATTCAAATGGGCCGGCCATGTTTTGTCGTCCGTGACCTTGAAAAATGAACTCTCCGTGGCAAACTCTAGGTGGCGCACTGCATTGTGAATCCCCTGAATTGGTTAAAGTGGTTACAAATTGCCTCAGGTCGCATTTCAGAGCATCTACATTGTACATGTAGAATCCAACAATTTTCGGGGCCCTTCAGCGGGCCCCGAACCCACGCCGTTGGGGCTTTGCGCTCACACTAGCATAGTTACATCTGATCAAGCTCCATTGCCAAATTCTAACTCTCAGCTCTTACTCTTGAGTGACCATCTCAGCTCTCTGAGGAGTATACAGTGCGATGCTGCCTGTTGGGCTCAAAGCAGCTAAAATCAATCACAATAACCATCCATGCTATGACAGGTACCCAATTTACTCCTGGGTGGGGAGAAGCAATGAGTGGAAAAGTGCCTTGCCCAAGGGCACACACACCATGACCCCAGGTTGGACTCGAACCCACAACCTGCTAAATTACCCACAGATCTTGAGTTCGATGGTCCAGACCACGAGGCCATGGCACTCCACACACAAAAAAGATATTGTTGCACTTTTACAAAGTTTCTATTGTCAATTTGATTATGTTTCCTAACAGTACCCCTACAGGCCCTACAAGACGCCCAATCAGACACCCCGGGGATTTGATGTTGCCAAGGAAACAGGCAGTACCAAAGATGGAGGCGTTGCTAAGGAACCCAGCGGCAGTGGTTCCGGATTCAGATTACAGAGTAGTGGGACTGGATCAATACTCAAGAAGCAATTCAATGCCGTCAATACTGCAAGGTATGCAACTCTGATGAAGTGTTGTAGACTCCGTGCATGGACAGTAGAGGGCGCTTTGTGATCACTGTCAAGCGCCCCAGTGGGCGGGACACACCACATGCGCAAACTGGTTTGTCTACGTAGGGCAAGAAATGCGCACAGCTACTTTTATTTCTGAATGTGCGTAAAACTGGCATTTTCACGTGAGGGTCATGCGTCCGTCGTCTGATGTTAGCATGTGCCCCAGTGGTCTCCCTTAACTCTCCCTTAGTAACCGTTGAAGGTGTAACTGAGCATGGAGTCCATGGGCTCCGTGCACAAGCACCCCGTCAACGGCCAGAAAAGGAGAGTTGGGGAGACCTAGACTGGTTCCCAGTCCATCCTCTGCATATTTCGAATGATCCAATGTTATTGGGGGCGGGGATTAGTCTAGGAGACCTTCGCAAGGTAAATGTGAAGGTATTGGCGCGCCGATGACGCCTGATGCTCACGGGCGAAGACACTATGGCTTAGCTTTGTGCACATTCAGGATAAATAAGTCGTGTGTACTTTGCGCGCGAACCAGTACTGTACGCACATGCGGTGTTCCGTCCAAGGGGCTCTCAAAAATGGTAAAAACGCGCCCTCTTTAGTTGGCGCACGGAGCCCATAGTCTAATTAGCCTACTTCTCCATCATGCTCAGCATCACGCTGAATGCAGTGCCCTTTTAAATCAAGTTGACTCCTACTTCACGGGTCAATCTGTCAACAACATGCTGGCCAGGCTCAGACTTTAAGTCGGCTGTAAGAAATCAAATACTTGAGTTCTTTGGACTTGACAGACTTTATTTGCTTGATTTTCATCTCTAGGTTGGATGTTGACGCATACTCCTCATCCTCTTCCTCTGAGCTCAGTCTCCATGGTAACGACCTCACAGTGCCCCCTCTAGAGTTGAACTCCGTCAATGAGCGTACTTTTAAGAAGACAACACTAGTGAATGAGGAGGATGCATTCCATCAGGCCGCATCATCACTAGAACTGAATGCCAGCGGGAGAAGTCATCTGTCCAATGGAAGATTGCTACCTCTCAGACCACAAAAAGTAAGGAAGAATGTTGGATATTGAACCATTAGATGATGACTTACAATCACCCTGTTATCCATGGCAGAAGATATGACAACGATATGAGGACAATGATATAACACAAGAATGGATTCAGACCAGTAGTATATAATATTACCCACCAAGTATTGAGTTTGATGAGTCAGACTTTGGCAGTCCTCTTTTCCAAAATTCCATTAGTTTTAACTTCAATATTTTCCTTGTTATTTTTTCATTTCTGCATGTACAGTATATCGTCGCCGTTTTCACGAAGATCGAGCCACACATGTCAAAAATGACAATTTTGTTCGATTTCGAGGTTTTTTTTTCACTACATGTATTTCGCATTGCACTAAATTAAACTTCCTACTTAACCATTTTGACATGCTTCTGTAAGCAAAACATCATTAATTTCTTAATTACATTAATGATGCAAGAAGCAGGTATCTCAATTAGAACATTTTGCATTTTCACAAAGAGACACGAATATAGGTGCCCCTTGAACGCGTACAAAACGTATTGGACGGAAAGGCGTAATAGTAGGTCAAGTGCAATTTTTTTTTCACGAAGAGCCACACATCTTTATTACCTTATCAGTTGCGCGCATAACACACACGCTCCTTCCCTATGGAAAAACACGTTGAACTGAAAGAGCCTAAATGTAGGAAACATGGATTTTCATTTTCACGGAGGGAAACACATCTTTACTAATGAAGTTTGGTTTATTAACTATTGTGCTCATTCTAATTACTGGGTTTACATAAAAGTTTACCTTTCAAAGAATCATGTTAATCTTTTCTTACTGCATAAAGGTGTTGCAAAATAGTCGTTTTTGCAGTTTTAAAATAGGAGGAACTTCTCTTGCGATTTTCTCCAAAACGTTCTTTCTTCAAAATCGACACATGTGGCTCTTCGTGAAAATGGTGACGATACATAAATGTATGCGTCGTACATGTAGCTGTAGTATGATATTGCCTATACAGAACATTTTTCAAAGAAACAGTAACTTTTTAATAGGGGAATAAACATGTGCTTGGCTGGTTTTCAACAAGGATATTTAAAACCAACTAGGAGCCTGGTTGTGGATAATGGCCAGAGCTGAACCGATGGCGAGGGCCTTTATCCGTGACCAGACATACTTGTTTAAAACCAGCCAAGCACATGTTTATTCCCATTCATGAATACTTCTTTGGTCAAAAAATCAAAATAAGTCAAAAATTGACAAAATTCCAACGATTTTCTCCCACGATTTTACTTCATGTTTTGTGAAGCACCCATCTGGCAGTGTCTATGGTATGTGCCTTGCGCACGTAGTGCTAAAAGTCTCCTAATATGGAGATTGGCGCATGCACGGGGCGTACTACGTGATGTGGTGCAGAACACAGCTGTATTTGACCGGTGGTTTAAGATCACCCACGTAACAGGCTCTCGACCAATAGGAATGGGTAAACTGTCTGAGGTATTTATCAATTTTGTCTAACAAGGATATTCATTTGTCAACCAGGGTCATAGTGGTGATGATTGGAACCTTAAATCAGGACGTTCAACAGGACGCTCATCAAGCAGAGACTCACCTCGCTCACTCTCCACATCTCGTGAGTAATGGACTCGATGTAGCACCCCTCCTCAACCCTCCAATGTCCTGTCTGTTATCCCTGTCAATCTAGGTTATAACAGAGTTGTAACGAGTTGTGACTCGAGTCGAGTCATTTTAAAGAAGTAACTCGAGTCAAGTCATTTTAAAGAAGTGACTCGAGTCGAGTCGAGTCAGTAGGTCAAAAGGTCGAGTCGAGTCAAATATTTAGCTCGAGTCAATTCGAGTCACGAATATTTGAACACTATATATACCAAAATTTATGAAAGGAGGCCATAAGTTTAGCCAGCGTTCGAATCCAAGAGCTTTATAAGAAATCGCCCAAAACCAATGATGAAACAGCGAATTAGAAAATGTGTTTAACAATCGGGTTCCTGGATAGTATTTTGTGCGTTCTAGAACCATGAGGTGGGAGTCTGTGACACGTTGTATATTTGTACATGACTGCTATTCGCAAAGTGAAGTGAGCATACATTTTGCACCGTAAGTCATTGCAAATACTTTTCGCAAAGTTGCGCATTTATTTTTGGGACTCGAGTCTTATTAGCCTTCGCTCGAGTCGAGTCGAGTCTTCTGATGAGGGACTCGAGTCGAGTCGAGTCATTTACTCGCAGTGACTCGAGTCGAGTCGAGTCATTTACCCTTAGGGACTCGAGTCGAGTCGAGTCACCAAAAATTGTGACTCGAGTCGGACTCGAGTCGAGACATTGACTCGAGTCATTACAACTCTGGGTTATAACCACTTGATGGAATGATCCTGAACATGTAGCCATAATTACCTCAGATGTTCTGCCCTCCTGTGAGTGTTGCCACAAACCCCTGCCTTCCATCTTGAAACTCTCCCCTCTCACCACAAAGACTGTACATCACTCTGTCTTTCTTACATTTAAAGCTATAGTCCATCATTCGCAGCTATCCCAAAAGTAAATGGCGTAATTATTGTTGAAAAACATACTTGGTTGAAAGATAGTAAGGGGACTAAACTCCCTGTGAAATTATTCTGTCTGGCAAGCTGTCATTTTGAAGTAATCAACGAAAGAAGGCCTTTCCAACGGTGCTTCTTAAGACGCACCGTAGGAAAATTTAAATTAGTAGTTTGTTTTGTTATTCGGCGAAGCGCGCGCAAGCATTGGCACGACGCACCCGCGGTTGCTATAATTCGTCGGATCAGTGCGCGACATCGCGTAGCTGCAATCGGCTCAGCGAGAACGTGTCTCGGACGCTGAATTCAGGTGCAATTCATAATATGATTCAGCAACTTTTTATTTGAAATTGAGATCCTTGAATGCTGTTTTTCTCGGAATATACAGCTGAAGCTGAGCTGAAACTTCATCAGGTTAGTTGTTCAGTACCCTTCTTTAGATTTTGAGCACTTTTGTTGCTTCAAACGAACAAAATGCACAAATTACAAATGATGGACTATATCTTTAACTCTTCAAATTGCACAGTACAGGGCGAGTCGGAATGATCTGGACCCAGATTAAAGAAAATATGAGATATGTTATAGGCTGGTATTTTGGACGTACATGTATTTGATGAAAGTTTCATGTAAAATGCTAGCAAATAACACACGCTAAAAACACTCTGACCACGGTTCCATGGTTCAACAAATTTATTGAAATTGCGTACTGGTGTGAAGCAGTGTAATAACACACAAAAACCTAGAGGAAAAGTTGCTTAATCTGTGGCAATAGAAATCTCCATGCGCGTTCAACCATTAGTACCCCCACGCAATAAAATAGTGCTTAAACAACAGGATTTTCTGTTAAAGCCCAACTTATGCTAACATAAAGCAACGCTATGACATTGGGCCCTGGTTTCCAAAATCCAAACGAAATAGTGAATTTCAAATCGAATTTTCAAAAATCCAGATTTTAATCCCACCTCTAATGCCTATTAAGATAAATGACTTTATATAAGATTTGAGGCTTTGCATGGTGGAGTATCGGTATCGTTTCGGTTTGCGGTAACACCATGTGGTATACAGTCTCCTGACGATGACTAGAGCAGGCTAGTCGAAACGTTGAGACCAAAGACAAGTTCGTTTAGAACTTACAGCAGGACTGTTCTTATCAGAACAAAAAACTACTTAGCAAAGTTGATAATAAGCAGGACAAGTTCTTTTCAGAACTAATATCTTCTAAGCAGTAGTTATTACCACATGGTGTTATCGCAAACCGAAACGATACCGATACCCCACCATGCAAAGCCTCAAATCTTATACCATGTGGTACATTTAGTTCTTTTATATTTAGTTCTTTTCAGAACTAAATAATTCTTTTCAGAACTAAATATCTTCTAAGCAGTAGTTATTACCGCATGGTGTTACCGCAAACCGAAACGATAAATGACTTTTATACTAGCCTGCGGAAGAACAAGCGCGAGTGCACAATAAGCTCTGGCCCAGTTCCGAAAAGTCTCACTTCATATGCAAAATAGAAGCGCATGCGCATCGATCGAGACAAAGGGGCGTGTTCCGAAAACTTTCGCCAAGAGTGCATATTACTGACGATGGCATTGCATTTGGTCAATTTTTGGACAATTAGTAGTTATAGTTCAGGGGAAACATAGGAGGCTCCGTTCGGGTCAATTTTTCGGTGACAGACCGACCGACCGACCGCGAAGTGACATGTAGAAACTCCTGCCAGAGCTTAAAGGGAAAATACAACATTTGCAAACATCAAAAAACGAAATGATCAAATTATCACGAAATACCTTACTGGATTGTTAGGAAATGACAGTCTAAAGCAACCTTTAAAATCGTGGCTCCTGGTGTGCTGACATTTTCAAGAAAACTGGTATTTTTCCAACGCTGGTCGGCCGACCAGCGTTGGAGAAAACTGGCTTTTTTCAAAAATTGTTCTTAAATTTTCATATTTAGTTATTCTGACTATTCTTTGCAATTGATTACACACCTCTGAAGGGGTACAAGCCTGCTAGACTGATTCTCTGACCCTACAATTCCCCAAAGTGAATTAATTGCTCTGTTTCATCTAAGTGGGGTCAGGTAACCAGACTACAAGAACATGATAGGTTTTTTTTATTTTTCCAGCATCTACAAGCCCAAAATGTGAAACAAGTCAGTTTACCAATATTTTCTATAACATATTAATCCTCCAAATCCATTTATTTCTGAAAATTGAAGTAAAAGCAAATATTGTACATTCCCTTTAAAAAATTGCAGCAAGATACCCGGTAGATGTTTTGTTGTACAGGTACTGGCATTGACTGGTACTTTAATTTCAGTTCCGTGAACAGATTATGCTTCCTTTTTTATTTTAGAATTATTAGAGGCAATTCAGTCATTTTTTATAATGAGTAGATTGTGTTGTTTCAGGTGAGGCAGAGGAGTTGAAACGAATCTACCGTGAAGCACAGCGAGAGATCTCACGAGTCTTGGAACCAGACATTATACCTGACCAATCAGATCGGACGTATGTTGCACCTGATAGACAGCCAAAGTAAGTCAGTGACCATTGCACAAGTTTAAAAATAATAGAAAATTTAAAATTTAGAATACAGAACAGTATAATTTCACTGTAACAAACAAATGGGGTCCACAGAAAGATAAGTCAGTATAGTAGTCATTCGATAAATAATAGCAATTTTTGGCTGCCAACTCTTTGTAGTTAAAACTTAAAGGTACAGTTGACCATTTGCAGCTATCCAGAAAGTAACCAACCAAATTATTGTGCAAAAGCTTACTTGGTTTAAAGATAGTAATGACACTAAACTCCCTGTGAAATTATTCCTTCTGGCATGCTGTCATTTTGAAGAAAGCAACAATAAAAGGTAATTTTCAAAGGTGAGTCAGGTGACACATTTTTGGAAACTTCCGTGAATCCACCCCAATGTGTTGTAATTTGTAGTTGGTTTGTAAATTGGGTGAATCCGTGAATGGATGAGGACTGGCTGAATGAGAATCATGTCAGAATGATTATGTTGACTTCGGGATTGTGTCACAAGAGGGCGCAATTCAAAATACGACTCGGCAACTTTGGAATTGAAACCGAGATCCAGAATAGTGTGTATATGTTTGTTCGGTTTTCTCGACGTATACAGCATTCACAGAGCTAAGACTTCATCAGGTTAGTTATTAAGCATCTGTCTTCAGATTTTGAGCACTTTTGTTGCATCAAAGGGAAAAGTACAAATTACAAATGTTCTACTCTACCTTTAATATTGGGAGCCTAAAGTGGTGTTCATTACAGGACTTTTCGTCAAAGTGATATCCTACTGTATTCAACGTGTCAGGAGACTGAAAATGTTTTAGTGTTCCTTGTTGAAAACAAACACGACAAATCAGGTATCAAACATTTTAAAGGTAGAGTCCATCATTTGTAATTTGTGCATTTTGTTCGTTTGAAGCAACAAAAGAGTTCAAAATCTAATGAAGGATACTGAGCAACTAACCTGATAAAGTTTCAGCTAAGCTTCAGCTGTACATTCCGAGAAAAACAGCATTCTAAGATCTCAATTTCAAATCAAAAGTTGCTGAATCATGTTTTGAATTGTTTTGAATTGCAACTATACGCGACGTCGCGCACTGATCCGACGAATTATAACAACCGCGCGCGCGTGTGCGTCGTTCGAATACTTGTGCGCGCTGCGCTGAATAACAAAACGAACTTCTAATTTAAATTTTCCTACGGTGCTTCTTAAGAATCACCGTTGGAAATGCCTTCTTTCGTTGATTCCTTCAAAATGACAGCTTCCCAGAAAGAATAATTTCACAGGGAGTTTAGTCTCCTTACTATCTTTCAACCAAGTTAGTTTTTCAACAATAATTACGCCAGTTATTTTTCGGATGGCTGCAAATGATGGACTCTACCTTTAAAGGCAAAGATACCGCAGAACCAACTGTCATGAATGCTATCATTGTTGGGAAAAGAAATAGTCTTCCTATTAAAAATTGCCATGTTTGTCCTGCTGTACTAGGGAGGTGATTCCATGTGGGGTTTTTTTTTTTGGGGGGGGGGGGCGGTTGGAGTGAGGGATAAAGTAAAGTCTGTCCCGAGCCAAATGTGGCTCATCAGGCCGGCGTTTATCTCCGGTTTCAGTAGCATGAAACGACTGAGAATATTTCTACTCCCCCTGGATGGGATGCTAGTCCATCGCAGGTTACTCCCCAGTTAATGCCGGTACCCATTTATACTCCTGGGTGGAGAGGGGCAAGTGGGGGTGAAGTGCCTTGCCCAAGGACACAATATATGACCAGCGGCTGGATTCGAACCCCGGACCCTCTGATCATGAGTCACGAACCCTAACCACTAGGCCACACACTCCCCTTGGAGTGAGGGATACAACCGTTAAACACTTTCGTATTCATTGCCTAAATTTGTCTTTTTATTTATTTATTATTTTAATGAGCAGATCACGAGGCAAGGCAAGTAAACGCGGAAGAAAGACCGAGGTACAAGAAACGGCTTTTGGAAGGTTGCCATCTGATCCAGCACTCCCAGATGCTCACTCTGCAAAAAGAGCGACCAAAAAACAGGTGAGTGAACTCTATATGATCCAGAAATGATTACTTGTGGAAAACACACAGACTCCAAATTGAGATATATTGTGTTGCGGATTTCATCGAACTGCCAGAGACTTTGTTTCACTGAAAAGCACATTTCCTGGTGAACTGAAGGAAACAGCTGATGTGAAGGAAGACAATTCTTAATGCCAATTTTTTTTTAAAATAAGAATCAATTAAAATCATTTATTCGATTTCAGGTCACAACAATAAGCATTATTTTACATATTTCACATTTTAAGCCATGCTGCTGCAACTTTAACTTTGTTGAAATGCAATTCATAAGTTCAAATGTTTTTAAATTGGGTGCATTAATAGCTCTTAGGTAGAGATGCCAGATACCAAGTCTTTATATGTACATGTACATGTACAAGCAAAGTTCAGCATTAGAATTCTACTTTACAATACTCATGGCTGATTTTATTATGCACTTCTGCGTGCCATGATCTGTGTACAATGTACATGTACTTTATACAAGCAAAGTTCAGCATTAGAATTCTACTTTACCATATTCATGGCTGACTTTATTATGCACATATAAATGCTTGGTCGGTTTTAAACAAGTCTGTTTAAGACTGGCTGGAGGAATGGACGCCGGTAATGGCCCGAGCCGAAAGTGAGGGACATTGTGGGCGACCAGGCCCCCAGCCGGTCTTAACCAGTTCGTGCCGGGATTATTTTGACATTGACCGGATCCAGGCGTTGGATGGTTTTTCACGAGCCTCAAACTTTTCCGAATATCGCAAAACCTTTGCGTGTATTCATGTCATCCGACGTGAACTGGTTAAACAGACTTGTTTAATATCGGCCAAGCCATATCCCCATTCGTAAGTACCTTTTCAGTCAAAGAGTCAAAACAAGCTAAAAAAAGATATATTTCCAATGATTTTGTTCAACACTTTTACTTCATGTTTTTGTAGACAACCTAACTATGTTATGGTATGTGTCTCTCTCTCGAGTAGTCTAATCAACTCCTTATATGGAGATTTGCGTGGGTGTGGTACGTAGTTCGCAATGTGGCGCAGAGTGCAGCAGTGAAGTAAGGACTATGAAATACTGACTCACGGAATACTGACTCACGAATAGTTTTGCGCGCGTGCCTACTTGAGGATTGTAAGCGTTCAACCAATAAAAGAGACCAGATTACATAGGAGTCCAAATTTCATGTGACACTGGAATAGTGTTTAAGACCAGCCAGCTGATGTTTAATCAACCATTTAAGACTGGCCACGCGACAAGCTCTCGACCAATAGGAATGGGTAGACTGTCTTAGGTATTTATCAATTGTGTTCCAATCACCTTATATTAAACTTACAATCCAACTGTCTTGCCATAGTGATTGATGTGATGAATTAAACAACTTGTTATCTTTAACTTATTCATCATGCATAACATACTATATATTGCTCATTCTACTCATTTTTTTAACAAGTAGTTCTTTGCCCAGTCTAATTGCTTTGATTAAACATGCCGCAGTTAAAAAAAAAAAGGGAGTTCCAAAGGAATAGCAATGCGTAACATTTTTTTTTCAGCATACATACAGGCACTATTTCATTTACAATGTATTATACATGCGCGTACTTAACATTCTTCAAAATTTTAACATGGGAAATATTTAAGTTATAAGATAGGCCAAAATATGTTATATAGTCAATTGAATTTTGATCTCAAGTTCAGATAAAAAAAAGGAATACATTGTACATGCAGATGTATTTTTTTGTTCCAAAACTGCCTGGAAAAGTCAGCTTTGTCAAAAATTGCACTGTGACATTTATTGTCTGTAATACTTAGAAGGTACACTGTAAGTAATATCATTATCAGAGATTATTAGCAGAAAATCATTGATGTGGAATGTTATGTATACTAAAAGAGTAAGCATGCAATTTTGTTTTTAAAGGTAATGTAGGCCTACAACATTTGCAATTTTTTTTTTTACATAAAAAAAAAAAGAACTACCATTTAATATTATGAAATACTTACTTAATTGACTGTAAGTGAATAATAGTCTCGAGAATCCTGTGAATTCATGGCACCTGGTGTGCAGTCATTTTCAAGGAAGGTATAATTTTTTTATCAGTTTCCAACGATGGTTGGCTGACCACCGTTGGGGGAAAAAAACCTGGCTTTTTGCAAATACCAGTAGTGCCCCGAATTTATGAAATTAAAGGGAAGATACAACATTTGCAAACATCAAGAACGAAATGATCAAATTAAAACGAAAAATCTTGCCGGATTGTTAGGGAATGACAGTCTTAAAGCATCCTGTTAAATCGTGGCTCCTGGTGTGCTGACATTTTCAAGAAAATTTGTATTTTTCCAACGCTGGTTGGCCGACAAGCATTGGAGTAAACTGGCTTATTTTCAAAAACTGCTCCTTATTAAGTTATTCCGCATTTTCTTTGCAATTGTTTTCACACCTGTGAAGGGGTACAAGCCTGCCAGACTGATTCTCTGATCTTACAATTCCCCAAAGTCTACAAATTGCTCCGTTTCATATTAAGTGGGTTAAAGAACCAGACAACAAGAACATGATTGGTTTTCTTGGTTTTTCCAGCATAAACAAGCCCAAAACATGAAACGAGTCAGTTTAACAATATTTGCTATAACATTCTAATCCTCCAAATCCATTTATTGCTGAAAATTGCACCAAAAACGAATGTTGTACATTCCCTTTAAATGAGTCCACATTTTGTTTGCAATCGGTTACACATCCGTGAACAGGTGCAAGCCAGCTAGCCTGGTTCCCTGACATGACAGTTCACCAATGTCTAGAAATTGCTCTGTTTCGTCTGAAGTAGGGTCAGGGAACCAGACTACAAGAACATCATTTTTTTCTTGGTTTTTCCAGCACCTACATGTATGAACACAAATCGTTAAACAGGTCAGTGTACATGTATGCTATATAATACTATCCCCCAAATCCGTCCATCTCTGATGTTGTATATCCGTTAAGTAAAGTACCTGTGATACTGTATTCTTACAAAATAAAAGAAAAAGAATTGATAAAAATAAAAGCGAAAATCCCACACTCTATTTGGTTGGTTTACCCTGACATTCTTTACTTGGAGAAATGATCTAAATAAAATACCTAGCAATGACCAAAATAGCAGCATTGGAATGATTACTGTAAACATGTACATGGATGTACCTTCGGCCCTACACCAGATACATGTAGATCATGTTAACCATGTTAACTCATTATTGTAAAGAATAAGGTCTGTCCATTTTTGAAAAACTTACATTGTAGTATTCAAATTTTCAAATCTGCATTTGACTGAATATTCGGATATTTGAACTGCCAGCTGCAAAAGTTGCATGCCAATCGCGCCAGTTAAACTTTGCATGCAGCGATAGATATGGGCCGCATGAGTGTCTTGCAGTTAAATATTTTACAGCTGTCACGGGCTTTAACCTGCTAAAAGGATTAAAACAATGAACCGCCGTCAACAAAAAAGTTTCCGTCGACAAAAAAAGTGGCATCTGACATTAAAGCGCCGCAACGTCATGAAAAAATTGCATCACAGTCTGTGTGTACTACTATGTGCATAGGTTTTTTTTTTTTCAATTTTGAATATTCATGAACCGGCAAACAGCTATTTGAATATTTGGTTGAGGATCGAATATTTGAATATTCAGTATATAATTCGGGACAGGCCTGACAATGTACATTTACTTAACATTCCAGGTAAACAGTCATCTTAGGTAAGGATACAAGTTTTTTTTTTATGACTCTTTGGCTGTGTTCGTCACACTGTAGTTAATGTACATCTTATACACATATTCGTTGAATTTCTATAATTAAGAGTTCTATACAAAAATACAATATTGAATTTGAAATCAGATTTGTAGTGCTTGTGTTGAGCATGACAAACCAACGATGCGTGTGAATTACTTCTGTTAGAATTAGTTAATGGACCGATCCAGTAAACCCCGCCCACTGCGCACGTGGGCAAATTACCACGTGCTCCTCTCCAATGCCACGCTGCATTTTCCTGCCGCACACAGCATACGCGCGTGCACGTATGTCAGACTTCTGTGCACGCACGTCGGACATAAATCACGGCTGTGATTGGTCAGTACACCATGGGGCGGTGCTTACTGGATCGGTCCATTGGCAGTGATGCAAGATGTAGGGGAATTTGCTCAAATGATGTCGCCGTGTTGTACAGTTCTACCGGTTGTAGACATCACAGATAGCAGGGGATGCAGTCAGTAAGTTCATAATTTCATCCACGTCGCTCTGCGTGGGACGGGAATTCCTAGCCGTCTCATTCTGCTGCACTGTATCCAGTATGGTCTGGAGAGCTCCTCGGCATTCAGTGTCTCCCAAGACCTGCCTCCTTGTCTGGGTATCCACCATGTACTGGGTCAACAGCAGCACGAGCAGCGCCAAGTCCTGCTTGTCCAGGCCGGAATGGCGAGACAACTTGACCAGATTGGTGTGCATCTCATGATGGTTGCCGCTGCGGAAGAAGAGATAGAAGTCGTTGGCTGGGGTTTCCATCGCAACTTGGATGCGGAGTTAGCAAGCTTGGAGTAGCTGGTCTTGACAGATGGCAAGTGAATGTTTGTAGTCACGCTGCGTGTGATGCACACACATGCACTCTCTGGTATTACAAGGTGAAGCTTGTTGATTTGCCTACAGCTGACTCTGTCAATCTTACTTGGGGTTTAGAAGAAACTCTTCCTGTATTGGGTGAAACCAAAAAAAAATCATTAGTTAATTATGAATAAATCTCCACTCTCCACGTAATGTGGGGTTCACCAGAATTCAAATTAAAAAAAAAATAATGTGTTGAAGAGCACAGGTACAGCAACTTTAAAGATCGAGTCCATCATTTGTAATTTGTGCATTTCGTTCGTTTGAAGCAATAAAAGAGCTCAAAATCTAAAGAAGGGTAATGAACAACTAACATGATGAAGTTTCAGCTCAGCTTCAGCTGTATATTGCGAGAAAAACAGCATTCTAGGATCTCAACTTCAAATCAAAAGTTGCTGAATCATGTTTCGAATTGGGCCTGAATTCAGCGTTCGAGAGACATTCTCACTGAGCCGATTGCAGCTACGCGATGTCACGCACTGATCCGACTAATTATAGCAACCGCGCATGAGTGTGCGTCGTGTCAACGCTTCCGCGCGCTTCGCCGAATAAAAAAAAACGAACTATAGTGTGTCGTAAGACGCACCGTTGGAAAGACCTTCTTTCGTTGATTACTTCAAAATGACAGCTTGCCAGAAAGAATAATTTCACAGGGAGTTAATTAGTCCCCTTACTACATGTATCTTTCAGCCAAGTATGTTTTTCAACAATAATTACGCCAGTCACTTTTCAGATAGCTGCAAATGATGGACTATAGCTTTAAGTAAACAAACTCAAGTACCGGTAGTCCTTTTGCAGGTTGCACCATACACGCCTGGATTTTGCACTGTGCCTAACACTTCAGAATAATATGGAGGCCTACGAAAACAACACAGTGTCAACAAAGTGCGTCATCATCAGTACAGAGGCTTAATATTTGAAGTAGGTACAGGAAGCTACCGGTAGGCTGCGGAAGTAGCTCATGAAAACTTCTCGTTACATTGTAAGCTGTACCAGCAAATATGTTTCCCAGCCAATGCGCATAAGTGAAAAGGCGTGAAATGTGCTGGTACAACTTACATATGAGGAAATATAAGCTGAGAAAAGACATTGGGTTCAAGCACATTAAAGAGGTTGTGGAATGCTTGAAGACATTTCCGTCATTTTTTGGGTATATGTAGCCTAAGGTGTGATGAAATAAAAACGACTATTGTTTCTGTCATGAAATGAGTAGAAAGGGTACTTTTGAGAGCTATTTTTCAGGTCCTGTTTCTACCCAAAGGTGCAATTTGTGTAAAACTCATCGTTGCGGGTAGCAAACAAAACACAGTAAATCGTGACGTAATAAACAGGACTCGTTTATGCTACTCTGCATCGGGAGTCCTGTTTATTACGTCACGATTTACTGTGTTATGTTTGCTGCCCGCAACGACGACTTTTACACAAATTGCACGTTCGGGTCGAAACAGGCATGACAGGACTTGAGAAACAGCTCTCAAAAGTACCTTTTGTACTCACTTTATGACAGAAACAACAGTCGTTTTTATTTCATCACACCTTAGGCTACATATACCCGAAAAATGACGGAAATGTCTTCGAGCATTCCACAACCTCTTTCAAATCTACTCACTTGTACATGTGCACAACTTGTTCACCGTGTCGATCGGTCTAGTGTATGTGATAGAATGGTTGGACCATCAGACAGACTAGTGACCACATACAGCATGTACAGAGGTATTGATAACTGGCCTTGTATTGTGTGTTATCCATGCACACACATGAGTGGGTTTGAATGGTCACAGTGATCAGGAATTGCTACATGTACATGCTGGGCTGTCTGGAGGATTGTGTACTTATTGGCTGCTAATCACTGAGCTTTTGTTGTGGATGTGACCAAATATGGCCCTAGCTTTTGTGTGACCATGGAGGAAGTTTTGAGGTCAATGGGTCCACACCCATAGTGGCTGGCATCTTCTTGGAAAGATGCAACTTACTAGGGATCACTCTGCATCCATGAAGTTTACAACACTGGACTCATGATGCATTTATGAAGGGCTTGTCATGCATGGGAGGAGGGATCTTTAGAAGCATCAATTGTTCCCCTATTTATTAAGAAGGGTGTGCATCATCATCATGTAGCATTTAAAGATCCCAACTTGATTGTTTTGACATTGCAAAGTTTCATTCATTCATTTTGTATAGTAATGGATCGTTTTCATGGCCTGCATCATGTAGCAAAATCCTGATTGACCCATAGGACTAGAGTTGACTGAGTTTGTTGTTGTTAAAGTTGTTATGGTTACAACAAGGAGTAGTACATGCAGGGTACTTAAAGGGAAAATACAACATTTGCAAACATCAAAAAATAAAACTACCAAATCATTTTGAAATACCTTGCTGGACTGTTAGTGAATGAGAGTGTAAAGCATCCTGTAAAATCATGGCACCTGGTATACTGTCATTTTCAAGAAAAGTGGAATTTTAGTATCAATTTCCAACACTGGTCGGCCGACCAGCGTTGGAAAAAACTGGCTTTTCTTTCAAATACTGGCCCCAGTTGACCATCGCACTTGTTTGCAATCGATTACACACCTATGAACGGGTACAAGCCAGCAAGACTGGTTCCCTGACCTTACAATTCCCCAATGTATGTAAACTGCTCTGTTTCTTCTTATATGGAGTCAGGGAACCAGACTACAGGAAAATGATGGTTTTTCTTGGTTTTTATAGCATTTTCGAACCCAAAACCTCAAAAAAGTCAGTGTAACTATATTTGCTATATATTTCCAACCCCCCAATTCCATCCATTTCTGAAAATTACAGCAAAAGCAAATGATGCATAGGCCTATTCCCTTTAATGCACAATGGAGGTAGGAAAAGATGCATGTACAGCCTACAGGTGCAAAATAGACTGTTCAAAAAGATTCATGCAACATTAAAGCCGGCCTCAGGTCGACCCGTTGCTTGCGCCACGACGGAACTGTCGGCATCAAGCTGAAAATTAATGTCACACAATAATCACAACCATTCTCATGTCTCCCATGCCACGTGGACGATTCTACGGCATAAAATAGTCATGTGACCACTTTAAGAATATATACGAACGCCTGTTGCTTACAATCACACGACATTCCATGGCCACACCAGCTGTTTATTCAGCTGTTTACTCAGACACTGATTGGCTTCACGACTGCGATTGATTGCTGCCTGTCGCGAGCACGTCGCAGCAGTTGGCATTTTTCTACTCTGTTGACTGTTGATTTTGTTTTAGCGCCAACTGATGACAATCGTCTTAATATCGTCGCAGTATCAGTTTGCACAGAATCAGCGACTAGTTTGTTCCCGACGGTCGTAGCTCAGGCTCTGCAGCTTGATTCTGAAAAGCCCCGACTGATCTGTGTCATCGCAAGGTTGACCTGAGGGCAGCTTAAAGAGGTTGTGGAATGCTCGAAGACATTTCCGTCATTTTTCGGGTATATGTAGCCTAAGGTGTGATGAAATAAAAACGACTATTGTTTCTGTCATGAAATGACTACAAAGGGTACTTTTGAGAGCTGTTTTTCAGGTCCAGTTTCGACCCGGACGTGCAACTGTGTAAAAGTCGTTGTTGCGGGCCGCAAACAAAACACAGTAAATCGTCCTGTTTATTACGTCACGATTTACTGTGTTTTGTTTGCTGCCCGCAACGACGACTTTTACACAGTTGCACGTTCGGGTCGAAACTGGACCTGAAAAACAGCTCTCAAAAGTACCTTTTGTACTCATTTCATGACAGACACAATAGTCGTTTTTATTTCATCACACCTTAGGCTACATATACGAAAAATGACGGAAATGTCTTCGAGCATTCCACAACCTCTTTAATATCATTGCAGTATCAGGTCGCACAGAATCAGCGACTAGTTTGTTCCCGACGGTCGTAGCTCAGGCTCAGCTTGATTCTGAAAAGCCCCGACTGATCTGTGTCATCGCAAGGTTGACCTTAGGGCAGCTCAAGATTTTGTGGGCATGTGCTCAATTGAACAAGTTTGGAACAATTCTTGTAATTTACAGCTATTGGGTCTGGAATAGGGAAACAATTGACATAGCTATAAGAGTAGAGAACATGCAATATTGTACTTACGTTCTTCAATCTGGATATGAAGTCAAAACAAGAAGCAATTTGTTTACAAGTATTTGGTGTAGTAATGATGGTACAGCTACGTGTAGGTTGCCTATCTGTCGATGTCTAAAATAACACTGATGCTGCTATAAATTTGTAGCCCTATATTTATAAGAATGCTGCGTGCATCTCATTACAAGATTTCTCTTTATTGGAAATTCCTAGTGAGAAATATAGTGGCCAGTAATCAGTAATATTGATTTGATTGCACAATTGGTGCAGTGAAACTTCAGTTGACAGGAATATTGCGAAATATCCTTCCCATGTTTACATGTATGTGTCATGGATTTCATGTGTTGGGAGTTCCCCTATGAACAAAATATAACAGTACTACTGTACATGGTGACTCACAATACTGACATGGCAGGAAATAAGTTTGAGCTTGAGTGAGTGTGGCCTTTATTATAGTCAACGCGACGTGGCTATCCGGATGAGTGGCGCCCCAGATTCTGGCACGAAAAAAGACCAGTAGCTCTTGGGGCTAATCATTTATTCATTTTTGTTCAAGTAATATGAATCATGCATCACAAACAAGGTCGCGCGCGTGCTGCGCGCCTTCTTAAAAACAAGACGCGCATGCATTTTAGTCAATATTCTCAACACAGTAATGCATTATGCATAACAATTTCTCTACCAAATTGGTAGATAAAAAAAAAGAAAAATGAGATAGTAAAGGCGCTCGTGGCTTCGCCACTCGCACTGGTCTTTTTCGAGCCAGCATCCGGGGCGCCACAAGTCCAGGTAGCCACTCGCGCCTTGACTAAAGGCTATTAGTGTGATACAGGCTCTTAGCTTTAAGTAGAAGACAAGAAGTCCAGGCCTCTAAAACGCTTAATGTGTGTACAGTCGAGTCTCGTTAATACAAACTCGTTCGGACCTAGCCAAATTGTTTGTTATATCAGAATTTGTTATTAAGAGGAACATCAGTCCCATTCATTGTGCACAGCACAGTCGGGACTAAGGCTTATGTTTGTTGTAACCAGCATTTTGTATTATGTAAGAGAGTTTGTTATAACGAGATTCGACTGGTATGTTAAATGTATGTTCTGAGATATTTCCAGAAAAACAGAATCCGGAATTTGGCCAGGTTTACTTGCAAAGTCACTTGCAAAAAAAGCACACATTATATGGGTCATACTATGTATTGGGGCCCACTTTCCTGTCTGTGGTATTTCCGGCATCTATCATGTCTATGATTTTATAATTCTGATGCACTCCTTAATGCAGCCATCATCCTCCAAGAGTATGAATAGCAATTAACTACCCACCATTGCCTACCGGTAAACAACTAAAAAAATGTTAGACGCCAATTCTTAACCCTCCTATCACTGCCTATGCAAACATACATTCTGTGCCAAGTTGTCCTTTCAGTCACAATCATCAACTGTTTTCAACAGTTAAGAGCTCCCAGCCTACATAAAGCAGGATTTGACTGGCTGTGACTGTTTATGTACACACAGCTATGCTTTGACTATTGGTGATTGAATGCCAGCTGTGCCTACCACTTGCCTGCTTTTCTATGTTGACTGAATTTGACTAGTCACAGTGCTTGGTGATAGCCTGTGTAAAAGGCATGTCAAGGGAGGGGATTGATTTTTTCTGTGTCTGTGACTGTTCAGACAGCACGATGGTAATAGCAAATTACAAAGTGCCACGGTAACAGGGACAGGAAAATGTACCCACATTTATAGAATGCCCAGTATTTGTGCTTTTTCTCATGCTTAGTCCATACATTTATGTTATTTATACATGTGTACAAGTTCCAATACTATTGATTGTTTGTAATCTTGTTGGCTGTTTCAGCAACTGGCCGAAACAGCCTTTGTTTTCGTTAACATTTTTTTTTTCTTTTTCAGTCATTTTGCCCATAGCATTTGTACACGTTTTTTTGTCCAAGGCACTTTGGGCACTAAAATCAATCCAATTGCCTTTATACTCAGCACACACACTTAGACCAGCATCTGAAGA